TCAGTATGAAAATATACTAAAAGCCCTGATAGATGTTTTAGAATCATCATTCAGATTCAAAAGGTAGGCAAAACTTTTATGTTTTGGGGTTGTTTTTTTTCTAGAAAAAAATGATCTTGACCATCACCCTTTAAAAATCATGATTGAGTATCATACTGATGTTAAGGTCCTAACGAACAAACAAACTAATACTAGTATTTATTGATATCAAAATGACAGAATGTCTCAACGTTTTTTTTTGGTTACTTTTGAAACAATGACCTTGAAATGACCTTTGACTTTCTCAGCTTGCACCACAAGTTTAATAACATTAGAAACTTTTAGTTATCATATAAATTCATGAAGAAGGTGGAATTTTAATGATTTTGGTTATTTTTTAAATAATGACCTTGATATGACCTTGGCCTTGACTTTAAATATCATGATAGACCATCAAAATAATATTAAGATCCAAACAAATTATGACCACACTAATAATTATTGGTATCAAAATAACAGAATGTCTCTATTGTAACTTCAGAAATTAGGAAAATATATCAGTTTTGGCGGCCATCTTGGAAGCCATCTTGGATTTCTCAGCTTGCACCACACTAATAAAAAAAAACCCCTTTTTAACATTTTTAAAAAATTTTTAAAAAAACCTTTTTTAAAAATTTTTAAAAAATTTCATAAAAATTCATGGGGAAAAATGGGGGAATTTTTAAAAATTTTTTGGGTTTTTTTTTAATAAATGCCCCTTGAAATCCCTTTGCCCTTTGACTTTTTAAACATCATAAGGGACCATTAGATTAAGGGTTCGGGCCCCCAAACAAAAAATACCCAAAACCCTTTTTAAGTTTAATAAAAATGACAAAAAGCCCTTAAATTTTGGACTGTTTTAAAATCGGGAAAAAATTTTATTTTTGGGGGCCATTTTGGGAAACCCCATCGGATTCTCAGTTTGGCACCACACAAAAGAAAAATTTTTCCCGGCAGTTTAATCCCACAGACCTTAGGAACTTTTTGGGATAACTTTGTTTTGTTCTACGAAAAAAACCAAAAATTTCCCTTTAAACAAACAATTTGGGGGCCCCCATTTAAACTCTACTATTTATTTAAAACAAACTTGGAACACTCACTAGAAATTTTTCATGCCAAAAATCAAAAAGCTTTAGCTTGGGGTTTTTTTAAATAGAAATATTCAAAAATATCCAGGGAAACCCAGATTTGCAGGGAATTTAAAAAATTTTTTTTAAAACAATTTTTTAAATGACCACCAAAAAAAATTTCCTGTGAATTTTGGGAATGAAAATTGGTTTAGGGGTTTAGGGAAAAATTTCTTTTTAAAAGTAAAATTTTTAATGAAGGGACCCGGATAAAAGCGATCAAAAAAAGGCCTTCCCCCCCTTTTTTCCACTTTTTAAAAACCTGATTTAAAAAAATGTTTAAAATAATTCACCTTCATAAAAATTTTTCTTTTTTTACATTTTTTAATTTAATTTTTTAATCAAAAATATAAATTGAAAATGGGCATATAAAAATGTCCCTTGTATAATCCCGTCATGTAACTTTGACACTTTTATCAAGATGACAACGCTTGCATTTGCTTCATATTCTGTTTTTTTTCTTGACAAAATGACGGAGCATCTTATAAAAATTATACAAGGAAGGATGCAGGTTCTTGGATAGAATCCTTGTTTAAATGACAAAAAATAACATATCATGCATTTGTGACTTTCATATAATTTTGAATTCTAAGAGCCATACGCTTAGACAATACAGAGTGTCCTGGCTAGCCTTATGTGACTCACATAAGGCTAGAACTTTTAACTGGCCACTTCCATTTTTTCATTATACGTTTTTTTATTGTTGAATATTTCTCAATGTGGTAAAAAAGTTCTTACTCATTTGGAAGGGGGGTGCAGGGGGTTTTTTTTACTAGGGGAAGACACCGACAGTCGGTGGTATAACCTGAAAAACATTGCAGGAAACGGCATGTACTTTCTCCACGTTACATGGAGGCTGCCATATTTTTTCTTGGCTATATCCTGTACTGAACAGTACTATTTCTGGATTTCAGTTGCTATCAAAATATTGTTATTTTCTAGTTTATTTTTAGTAAAGTAATATATTTTGTATTTCTTATTATGAAAATGTATGGAGCTTAAGTATGTCACAGATACATTATTAATAGACTATATTAGGCTATACCTATACTGTAGGCACTATTTGTTTGTTTGTTTGTTTAATTTTATGCCTTTTCCCAACAGTATTTCAGTCATATAGGCGGGTAGTTTCCTAACCATTGTTCCTGGAGAGTTACACCAATAATAGACTACCTTCCTCCGCGCTAAACTACCAAAGCATCTCCAGGGGATCGAACCCATGCCAGAGAGGTAACTGGATTAGAAGTCATCAACTCTAACCCCTCGACCATGGAGGCGGTCTTTAATTAAATTTCATACAAAAATGGAAGTATAAAAACCATTCACCACCATACATATCAAGATGTTATACTGCAAACAATATTTTGCATGATGATAAAGTTTTTAAGGGGAAAAAAGATATAGTTGTGACTCTCTATTATGTTATGTAGTTAAGTATATAGTATAAATAACGTAATAATTTTCCCCAAGTGGACTTTTTTCATATATTTTTCCCCCTCCCTACCAGCGGCTTCCATTTTTCCTAAAATAAAACCCTGGGGGGAATTGTCTTACTGTTTTGGTGGGGGTGAAGTTTCTACAGGGGTGGCATGTTTTTAAAATTTAAGGGTGGTTAATTTTCATGCTGGCTAAAAGGAAGTGGCTAGCCGTACGGGCCCGTACGGCTAGCCAAAAGTTCTAGCCGTACGTGAGTCACGTACGACTAGCCTGGACACACTGTATTGGCTAGCTGTACGGCACTTTTCAAAATTATATGAAAGTAGAAAATGCATTTGTTATTTTGTGTCTTTAAACAACGATTTTAATCAAATCTCCGCATTTGTCCTAGTGTGTTCACTAAATTAATAAAGATGCTCCGCAATTTTGCACAAGTTTACAAGCGTTGTATACTGTAATCTATCTTAATAAAATTGAGTGTCAAAGTTGCATGTTATAACGTCCTTAATTTTCATGCTTATGATTTGTATGAAAGATGAATTGTTAAATCTGTTAATTAAGCACATGGATCGAATAAATAATGATCGGAGGGGAGTAAATAAATAAATAAAAAGAATATTAAAAAAAAAACGGTGAAAAGGAAAAATAATTTAATAATGCAAACTTTTCTTAATGATTGACGATGGACAAACTTCTATACCGTCGGTAATTGACGCAATTATCAGAGCCCAACAGCAATTATTTTCGGTGTGTTTTTTTTTAGTTTAAAAATAAAACTTAATGAAACAAAAAAGGATTATTATCAAATTTTGTAAACTATTTCAATTGATGTTATTTAACTGCAACCAAACGCTATTTTTTCTCGACGTCTTGAGATGACAAAGTAAATTCTTTACTGTAGCCAACACGTCGATTAATCTCTAAAAAGTAAACATTCTTGACTGAAACCCTCGCTTAAAGTCATAATTAACACATGCACTTTCGCCTTCCATATTTTTTTGAAAGTGCCGTACGGCTAGCCAATACAGTGTGTCCTGGCTAGTCGTACGTGACTCACGTACGGCTAGAACTTTTGGCTAGCCGTACGGCTAGCCACTTCCTGTGTAAAAAGTGTCCGGTTTCTATCACATGTGAACGTCACGCCTGTGATTTCTATTAGTTCTGGCTTCCATAACTTAATATGTCGCTTTATTTTGACCTTGTGACAGTAAACAGGTCTAGCAGTACTATAAAACCTGTTCGCTGAAGTATACTTAGCTAGGACTAGGTTTCTATCTGACCTTAAGGTGATTCCGCTTTGTCAGCCATGTTTGTTTTCACAAAGTCTGTCCAAAGTGAAAGTAGGCCAAAATTCATATAACAACAAAGCTCACATTGTTATATGATGAGCCATTTGCAAGTACACTTCCAGTTCTACATTTTAAAGACTATTTTAAACAAAAATAAAAATGATAACAATAAGAAAATTTACCTTGAATGTGCTACATTTCTGAAGACCAAAAACATTCTGTTGCAAAGTTTTATGCACATTTCATGAATGGCAAAATCCTTTTTAAAGTCTGTTTTAGTGCCTACAAAAGCTATTTTTTGCAGAAAATACAAAAAACTTTAAAAAACATAAATCTTAGGAAAGTAGTTTATCTGACCTTGAAAAAACATGGCCACCATGACATGTGTAAAAAAGTAGTACCATGAAAATAAACATCATTTACCTATTTCTTGTGTACATGACAAACAGAGACACTTCACTGTTACACATAAAAAAGGTTAGATTTTAAAGTTTGATTGTGTTTTCATTTTAATTGTAGTTCATAAGGCTATAAATGATGATTGTTTTCTTGCACTACTTTTTTACAAAAAATAATGGAGGCCATGTGCTTAGAAGGACATGAGATACAGATTTATTTGGAGTTAAGTTTTGAAAGATTTTTGTATTTGCTGCAAAAAATAGCTTTTGTAGGCACTAAAACAGACTTTAAAAAGGATTTTGCCATTCATGAAATGTGCATAAAACTTTGCAACAGAATGTTTTTGGTCTTCAGAAATGTAGCACATTCAAGGTAAATATTCTTATTGTTATCATTTGTATTTCTGTTTTAAATAGTCTTTAAAACATAGAACTGGAAGTGTACTTTCAAGTGTTTCATCATTTTACATTGTAATCTTTGTTGTGATATGAATTTTGGCCTACTTTCACTTTGGACAGACTTGGTGAAAACAAACATGGCCGACAAAGCAGAATCACCTTAACTTTTTTATTTTTTTAGTTTCTGTCGCATGTTTTCAATATAATCTAAAATCTAAACTTGCAGACGTTTAGAAACAATATTACATATGATCTGTCACTGTTTTTTGTTAAATAAATAGAAACGGAACAAGGGGACGACAATATTGTGATTGTTGAATTATGAAAGTTACCCGCAACAGCCATTTTCCGGCGCAGTTGTAAGAAATTAATGTCCGTGAAAATCACTATAAATTTGTCACATGACTGCAAAATGGCTGATAACTACTTTCGTTTTGTGTTTGTTTTGAGCCTTTTCGCCGTGTATCTTTCTTCACCATTACCAGTTGTTGTGAATACATGGCCATTTACAAATGCTACATTAGCAGGTAATATTCTGCTTTTCTGTAAATAAATCATTTTCCTGATTTTTTTTCAAATAAAGACTTTGCAACAAATATCATTAAAACTGTTAAAGGCTTGTAAGTTGTAGATCTATTATATGTGTACCATACGAAATTTATTTGTTTGCAATAGTCTGTTTCATGTTTTTCTCCTGTTAATCAATTTAAAAAATACAACTCTAGATGGTTTAAAGAAGAAAGATTCCCATCCATGCACCCACCAATCCATGCATCCACCCACCCTCATATCGCCCATTTCATCCACACATCCACCTTGCATCCACACACCCATCCATGCATCAATTCAGGCATCCATCCATCCATTTACACTTGCAGCCACCCATCTCTCCATCCACACATCCTTCCTTCCTCCCTCCCCCTCTCAACTTTAGTGGGATTTAAATTGAACCCACACAACTACCAGATTAGGAATCTACTGCTCAGTAATAGTTCAAAACTGGTAAAGAAACAAAGGAAAAGCTAGTGCTTTAATTGATAAGTAACATAGTCATATTGGTAACTTGTTAAAATTTGCTTGTTCAGGCTTACATGTATGTCACGAGGGTAATATACCGACATGTATAATTTATTGTTTGTATGTATGTCTTATATATTGTGTCGTTATATATTCCCTGTATGTTAGTCATTTTGTTATATATCATATATGTACATGTCCTATATATTTGTCCTATTCATCCCCCATATTTTTCTCATTTTCATTCATCCTTTTCATTCATTGCAACATGTAACACTTAATGTCATTCTATATAATTCATAACAACTAATTTCTTCTGGACGGGCCTCCTAACATTTACTCACCCGGATTGGATGTCACGCATGCGCACATTGAATACACTTCCATTGGTTTGCGCCACGAAGTAGCTGTGTTTGCGTTTTCTTTCATCCTAAGTAAATTGTTTATTTGTTTCTGTGCCATTACAGGTAATTTTGGTTGTTATTTATTACTCGTAATGTATTCATTCAATTATTGAAATGACATGCGTGTTGCATTTTGTATTTTGCACATTGAATACACTTCCATTGGTTCGCGCCACGAAGTACCTGTGTTGGATTTTCTTTTCTCCTCAGTAAATTGTTTTATTTGTTTCCGTGCCATTACAGGCTGAAACAGCCCCTCCTTTATAAGGAAAGAGGAACCCTACGACATGTATATTCATTCAACCAGTGCAAACCAAGATGAGCCAGAAAAGAGCCAGCTCAGCTGGCTCTTCTTTGCTATTCAGTTTGAAGTATAATTATATTTTGAAATTGTCACTAAAAATGATGAATGGTTTTGTCTACTTTGAAAGATTGACAAGTCTATTTAAGATATTAGGGTGGTAAGGGTTAATGTTGTATTAATGTTATATTTCAGCATGGAATACTATAACATCCACCAATAAAACAGCAGTAGATGCAGTAGAGGCTGGGTGTAGTGAATGCGAGTCTCAGAGGTGTGATGGCACAGTGGGCTGGGGAGGAGACCCTGACGAGAACGGTGAAACCACCCTGGATGCGATGATTATGGATGGGTTTGTAGAAATACTATGATTGTGGACAAGTCACAGTCTCTTGGAACGTTATTGAGCTACTTTGAATGATATAAATATATATCAATTGAAATTTAACATAGCATACTGAATTTAAGCCTCAATTAAATCCTTAATTTTTTGGAACCTAAATGTCATTAGCCTTTGCCATCATTATAGAGCTAGGCGACTGGTTAGCCTGCACATCCATGCAGTCTGACAGCGCTCTGTAGTGTTAGAAGCTCAATTTTTGTATTTTAATTTAAAAATCCCTGACACTTTGAATGGATTCTTCCCAACTTAATTGGGAATAGGCCTTTAAGCCTTTTGATTTTAGGAAAAAAAATGGTTTGTAATAAAGCTGGTGAAAGTTCAGATTTTGGGGAAACTGTATGATTTGAAAGAAATTTGAATGGGATTGTTAGATAAGGGCTCTGCTGATGGTCATTTTGACCAGTATGGACTAAGTTTTGCCAATTGCAAGGCCAAATCCCCATGATTTTAACAAAATTTGACACTCCAGTAAAATCTTGAGGGTCAAATCAAGCCTTTAGAAATTGAAGGGTTAAAGAGTCATTTCAAGGGTCAAATGGACACCGTGTAATTAAAATTTAGTATGGTGAAAATCACTGATTGCATGCTTCTATTTTATAACAGTCTTATCTAAAGATAGTATATTTTACAGGATAACACATGATGTAGGCAGTGTTGGTGCAATTAGAAGAATTAAAAGTGCAATATCTGTAGCTAGAGCTGTCATGGAGAGAACAACTCATACACTGCTTGTTGGAGATCAAGGTAGATCATGTAGATAATTTATATTATGCATTTGTTTGGGTAAGGTAGATAATTTTTTTAATGCATTTGACTGGAAAACATTAAACTTTTTGTTTTTCATCTCCAGTTTTTCATGAAAAGGAATATTACAAAAGTCATTAAGAACTATTGTTTTCATTTTTTCGATTTTAGGTCACAATAAAATACAATTTACAGTTTCATTTTCAAATTATATACAACACTGTACAAATGTACATAACTTCCCAATCTGACTGAAAATTTAGGCATGAAATAATAAAGAGCTGGTTTTAATCAGATTTAGGCAAGTTCATTATACAAAGTTGGCATGGTATTAGGTTCAGACATTGTCACCTTAGTACAGTAATGGGTTCACTCCAAACCTATTAAAGGGACTCCACTGAGGTTTTGAGGCATGACGGGGTTGAAAATGTTTTTTCCGAGATTTGTCTACCAATTATTTTAGGTCTTATCCAATAAGTTTTGTGCAAAATGTTTAGCACATTCCCTCATTCTGTTTTACCAGAATAATCTGTTTCACTCTGAAAATTAGCCCAAAAAAGAAAAGCTTGGCAACACTTTTCTCTCCAATTCAGCTTAAATAACCACACATAATATTGATTTTCAGTATAATTCTGAGTATAAATTCTTTATTATCCTTCGCAGATTTTTCAATTTTAAGTGCTTCACTTAATATTTGTAAGGTTTTCAAATTTTTTTGTTTTTATGCCTTTAGACCTCAGTGAAGTTCCTTTAAATTACAAAAGAAGTTAATCTGTTTCTGCACTAATGGGACAGTATATTTTTTGTGTCGCCTCTACGGAGTAGTGGCGACATATAGGGATCACTTCTCCGTGGTCCGTCTGTCTGTTTGTCCGTCCGTCCGTCACAAAACTTGTACGGACTACTCCTCATAAACTACTGGTGCAATTTCATCCAAACTTTACAGGAATGATCAGTACCAAGTCTAGTTGTGCATATTGTCAGCATTTTCCGGTTCAATGATTTTTGTCAGAGTTATGGCCCTTTAATAATTTTTATTTTTAAAGTTTGTCCGGACTACTTCTCTTATACCACTAATGCAATTTCAATGAAACTTTACAGGATTGATCTGTAGCTCAAGTCCTTGCGCATATTGCACGGGTTTTCTGGTTGAATGATTTTTGGCTGAGTTATGGCCCTTTGATAAAAAGGTGTTTTTTTCTGTGTGTTGCCAGATACGCAAAAGCTTGTCTGGACTACTCCTCATAAACTACTGGTGCAATTTTATCCAAACTTTACAGGAATGATCAGTACCAAGTCTAGTTGTGCACTGTCTGTCTGTCTGTCCGTCTGTCACAAAATTTGTCCCAACATGAAATTGGCCATCATGAGGCGACACATGTGGTTACTGATTGCTCTTGTTTTCATAAACAATTGTGTGGCAGGCACATGCGATGCATTACAGGAGATTTATTATGTTTTGTTTCAGCAACAGCATTTGCTAAACAGCTTGGTTTTAAAGAGGAGGACCTCCACAGTGATGAAAGTATTAATTTATATAAACAATGGAAACAGAAAAACTGTCAGCCTAATTACTGGAAGGTAATGTACTTTAAAAAAAAAATTGTCATTTGCGTCATTTTTACTCTTCCCTTATAGCTGGATATATCATTTGGCCTCTTGGCAGAATTGTGTAGGTCCTGAGCAATGTAGTCTCAGGCTTGGTTTCAAGTTTTATAAGATTTCTTTGTGATGAAGCTGTCACATTATTTTGAGGAAGATTAAATAACATCTGTACTTTTGATACCTGACTCGCCATTAGTTTTTAATAAATCCTGAAAGTAGCACAAATTTTAACTTACCTTGTAGTTTCTACGAAATATTACATAATCCAGTGGAAAATGAGGCAAAAAACATCTGAAACATTCTTTTTAACCTGAAAACATGTAACTTTTTTTTTTGTACCTTAATTAACACATTCTCCCCCTCCTTATAATGCCACTAGAGGCGTTTATTAGATAAAATTTGTACCTTTTATTGGTCTAAACCTGTGCTTAGAAAGCACAGTGGTTCTACTAAGGTGCCATGCACTCCATTATTGAGGGACATCTTAAATCTCTCACAATCAGTAAAGCTGAAAAGTTGCTATTTGATGATTTGAATTTACAATGATGGATTGACATAGATTAAATTCAACATGGAAAAGGGTTTTATTTCATTTAAGGCACTCCGCTGAGGTTTTCTGACATGAGGGGACAGGAAACATCTTTAAAATTTGAGATTAATGTTCCATTAAATGGAATTATTTGATAGGTGTAAACCAATGACTTGATGGCACAATTTCAGAAATTTTGCTTGCTTTGTTATATTAACCATGAAAAAATATTCAAAATTTAAAAGCATTGAAATTCACTTAAATCAGACTAAAATAGCACAAAAAATACAATTTTCGATTTATTCTAAGCATATTTCTTGAATATCTTTTATATATCTTTCTGTTATAAGTAATCTATGTAATCTGTTGATCTATGTAAGAAATTCAAATTTAAGGTTTTTATGCTTTTCGCACCTCAGTGGAGTACCTTTAACAGTCTGTACAATTTTTTATCACTTTAATGTTATTCACAGAATGTTTTACCAGATCCAAAGACATCCTGTGGACCATACAAGCCAACTCCATTTCCACCAGAGATACAGCATGAGAAATTGTTAGATTGTAGTTATAAAGGAATAGGGGAGGATAATCATGATACGATAGGTAAATATAACCATACTTTGTTATCTCCCTTTACATCACTGTATACTAGTTAAAACTGGATAGAAAATCATGTGAATGCTGGTCATGTAAATTTTGCTAGGGACTATAATCCTAATTAAAGTTAATAGTACATCTTTTTTTAATGATCCATTCTTAAAAAAAACACCACTAACTTACTGCTTCTTACAGCACTTTTATATCACCACCACTGATAAATTTCTACATAGAAATGAGGGATGTTGCACATATTCATTATCCCTCATGAACAGACTCAATCAAACCGAGTCTGCAATTTTCATGTAATTTTGTTCGGATTAATGCTTCCGAGGGATGACTTTGTTTCCAGATTTTAATATGAAAAAATAAATGTCATAAATCTAAGTATCATTTTAAATTAATGAATTGTTTGTTTTTAAATTCCATCTCAATCACAGGTATGATTGTTGTTGACAGTAAAGGGAATGTTGCAGGAGGAACTTCAACAAATGGCCTTAATCATAAAGTTCCAGGGTTTGTGTTTTGTTGTTCTGTTTTTTGTTGAAGCTCACTTTTTAAGTTTATATTTACTAGTATATGGCGGCATTCTTGGTTGATGAGTATTTCAACAGATCATCTGTTTTAAAAGCACCTATTAGTATAACTTCTTCGCGATCGTTTGCAGAGTTCATGTAATGAACTTGTCCTTGTTTATTTAAGAGCTGTACAATATTAGTATTTGGACAATTTAAATGGACTGTTTTTTTTTCTTTTTACATGAGTTTAATTTGTCCAATATTTGTATTCCCTTAGTATTAATGTACACGTATTATATTAACACTGGACCACTGCATGTGTTGCATACATGTTCTCAATCTACAGTGACAGTAATGATGTTAAAAATTCAAAGAAAAGTATTATAATTGTAGATGCTGTAATATGATGAGCATACTTTATTTAGATTTTAAACCTCCTTTTTATTATGTTCATAAACAAATAATAACTTTTATTTAATGTTTATGTATAGACGTGTGGGTGATTCTCCTGTGGCAGGTGCTGGGAGTTACGTAGATAATGACGTAGGTGGCGCTGCAGCAACAGGTGACGGTGATGTCATGATGAGGTTTCTACCAAGGTACGAGTAACCTTCCTTAACACTTTTCCTCATTCTTTAGGGCAAGTACATGTATATTTATAATGTATGCAGATGCCTTAGTGGGCTACTTTTCATGAAAATGATTATAATATAAAATGAAATGTGTGTGTAAGAGCGGAATTGTCTATTTCTCTTTTTAAAACATGACTGCACTCAGTTTAAATTTTGTCATATATTATTCATATCAAATAGAAAATACTATCTTTTAAATGATTAAGTACCATATTGGAGCATAGCATTTGATTGTCTACTTTAGCTCTAATCACACTCAATACACTAAGTATGATATATCATTTCTCTGAGGTGGTGGGTTGTTTTTCTTTGAATATTTATCATCCAAGGTGCTTTTAAAGATATTCTGTTCAACTTATAATCTATGAGAATCAAGAGCTGAACATGTGATGCCCAATCTCTCTCTATCCTCCAATGTCATGGTCTATTTTACTTAGTCAAGGTTATATTTCTTTAAGCAAAGATAATTTGTTTGCATCTAGGGCTGGGTCAGTCAGTCTAATGTCAAAATTTAATGTGTGTCTATGTCAAGGTCTGTCCTTAAGGTTAAATATTCCTTAGGTCAAGATCAGTCCTTTAAGTATGATTAGTAACTTGGTCAAGGTAAGTCTCTACAATTAAAGATTTAATAGTAGATTTCTGACTATTCTGATTGACATAGCTTTTATGCTGTTAAAATGATTTAGTTTCCATGATGCTAAAACCATGCTGTGATGTTTTATATAATTTCTGTGCTGTTATGATTTGTCTAGTTTTCATGCAGATATGATTTATCTAGCTTTCATGATGTTTTGATTTATCTAGTGACCATGCCATTATGATTTATCAAGTTTCCATGCTGTTATAATTGATTCAATGCTGTTATGCTTGATTCAGTATTCATGCTGTTATGATTTATCTAGTTTCCATGCATTTATGGTTTGTCTAGTTTTCATACTGTTATGATTTATCTAATTTCCATGCTGATATCATTTATCTAGTTTTCATGCAGTTATGATTTGTCTAGTTTCCATGCTGTTTTGATTTGTCTAGTTTCCATGCTGTTTTGATTTATCTAATTTTCATACTGTTATGATTTATCTAGTTTTCATGCTGTTATGATTTATCTAGTTTTAATGCTGTTATGATTTACCTAGTTTTCATGCAGTTATGATTTATCTAGTTTTCATGCTGTTATGATTTATCTAGTTTTCATTCTGTTATGATTTACCTAGTTTTCATGCAGTTATAATTTGTCTAGTTTTCATGCTGTTATGATTTATCTAGTGTTCATGCTGTTATGATTTATATACTGTTATGATTCATCTATAGTTTCCATGCTGTTATGATGATGAAGACTGGTGTATCACCATGTATAGCCACCAGTGAAGCTATAAGGAGTATATTGAGGTTTTATCCAGATTTTGTGGGAGCAGTTGTAGCAGTCAATAAAAAAGGGGAGCATGGTAAGTGTTATAATATACCCATTAATGTCAAGTACCTTATTTGTGTTCAAACTTGTGCTTTAATTAAGTCACATCAGACACCCAGTCTTTACAAATAATTTCACAAGTGTGGAATGTGTAAGTTGCAATAGAATCTGGTGACTCACTGCCAGGAGGGAATCAAACAAAGAACCTCTGGGATTAGGAACATGTTTGTGCATAAACCACAGTGCTGGAGATTAATTGAGCCATTTGATAAAAGAAAATCTGTCACAAGGGTATTTACGATGCAAATAATGCAGTGACTGACAAAAATCTTGAAAAATGTTAAGATTAATATAATTAATGTTTTGTAATTTACATCTTGTATTTGTTTATTTATTCTAAGCTTGACTGTCCACAAATAGTGGGAGCTATTGTACTCTCTCCTCTGTCAGCATGACCATAACACTTTTGTTAAGTTTTGAATGCAAATCGGTATTCCCTAAACTTCTGAAGGAAATGGATTAAAACTTTAAACACTTTTTTGAAATCATAATAGGTGGTCACTGTTCATGTCCCATAACTCTTAACATCAATTTTGTCAGAATTATGGACCTTTTTGAACTTATATTTTATACATTCCATATTATTCAGTCTTTTTTTTTTGACTATCAAGCACAGAGAATTGTTAAGAACTCTGTCCTACTGACAGCTTTTGTTTTTATACTGAAGTATGTTTATGTTTTTCAGGTGCTGCTTGTCATGGAATTCCCAAGTTTCCGTATTCTATACGCAGTACAGACTATAGTGAGGTCACTGTTTTAGATGTACCATGTATGTGATTCAGTGATAAAAATGATAATCCAGATATTCAATTACTTCAGCTTGTATTATACTCAGGACAAAAGTTCAAAATATGTTCACAATGCTCTAGTCAATTTGAACCATCAACCCAGTCCTTTGGGAATTGAAGAGATTTTAACTTTTAGATTTTCAAACCACAAATAAAGGCCTTATTTCGTAAGGGCAGTAAATCACGCTGAATTGCCGATAATGCAATTTTAATCCATTGCAATTAAACCACATAGACCTGACAATTTAATTGGGTTTAAATACAAACGAAAATAACAGCTTCTCCAACTATCTGTCACAGTTCCTAGGGTAAAACACTGTTTTTACTATTCCCTGGTGCTGGTGCAAAATGAACATAATGTTAACCATAAATGTTGACTTAAAATGAAATTTTAATTGATAAAAATTTTAAGAAAAATTGCACAACTGTATTATAACACAACGCCTGCTGGTAGTGACTGAATCTGTCAGTGCAAACCAAGATAAGCCCACATGTCTGTGCTGTCTGGTTATAGTATATGTACTATATAAGTATATATAATAATTGAGGGTTGAGCACAAAACTGCAGTAATTTATAATTATGAAATGAAGAAGACTTACAACAGTTTTGCGGTCAAACCTTGATATCTAGGAATTAAGAAATTTGCTTTTAGGAGCTTATCCAGATTTTTTTATCATTAAATGAATAATTTCTGACACTTTCTATCACACGTATATATTTAATGTTTGTCCTATACAGTATATATACCACTTGTAGTGTTATATTTCTCTCAGACATTTGAAGTTTTACATCTTGAAATATGTACATTTATTTACTTGTTTTGTATTACTGATAAACTGCTTGGTAAGTGTAAGCTATTTGTTAGTATTTTTATGCAAAATTTAAGTATGAATGCATGTGCAATTTAGTTAAAATTGTTTTTGATTCTGATGTTAATGTATAATTTATTTTCGCTCTTTTTATTGTACACTTCTGTGAATTATGCAAATGTTCTTTTGTTAACATATGATGACTTTTGTTTCTTTTCTATCACTTTTGTCTATTTACCTCACTGTTATTAAAAAAAACGCCTTAAGTAAGGTAATCAACACATGATTGTGTAGATTATATAATCAATTTAGGTTTAGTCACATGTATTTCATTTGCTGTCAAACATTTCAGAGACATAGAACAGTCATAGTTTAGTCATTTCAACTATTCATAATGGACCCCTCTCCCCCCATCACCTCTACCCCCCCCCCCCCCCCCCCCGAAAAAAAAAATAAATAAATGGTCATACATCTTGTATTCCTTTAGTTCTGTACTAACTTCTAATTGTTTTACTACATGTATCAATTTCAAAAGTACCTTTATTTTTTCAAATAAGTGAAATGTAAGATATTTGCTATGTACATTAGGCATTATACGGACTTAAACCCATGACTGAGACTGAGATCATTACTGTATGTGGTCAAGGTCACCAAGACTAGAATTAGATATACTTGTGGTTATGATCCTGCCACTTGGTGGGGAGGGATGTAGATTTTACCCATTGCACTCTTATCAACCTGTAACACTGTCTGTCTTGTGTATCAATAAGCCAAGTCTCAGGGAAGTACATGTATATTACAGTAACTGTATATTTAGTTTCTGGTCTGTTCGTTGACTTACAAAATAAAGGAATGTCGTGTCATCAATTGATATCCTATGAACACATTCTCGTTCATACCAGTTTTAGCAATTATTTTAGTCAAAGCTATATCATGTTGTATTTTTCTCTGATATTTTGTGTTACATGTAGTTTGATGTAAATTATGAATCGGATATCTGCATACTTGCATTCAGTATTACTGTTGTTTTTTCCCTATCATTTATTATATCTTTGGAGTAGATTTGGAATATTATTATAATCATTATTATTATTGTCATCATTTTATTCCAGGTTTTTTTCTGAGCTCTGTCTGGTATTTCAGGTTTTTCATTGGTCAGCGTAGATTCTTTGCCGATTTCAGACCAATAAAACAACTGATCGAAATGGTCTTTGAGTAGAATTTTTTTCTATAACCTCTCACCTTGTTTTGGTGGCTTATTCAATTTTGAAGCTTCACACCTCCGGATGAGCCAAAATATTTTATGAAATTCAATCTTTAGAAAAATGTATTAAGATCTTAAGAAAAGTAAAAATATTCAATATTTAATTAATTATTTACATGTTATGTGCGATTCATGACTGATTTTTCAGTATCAATCACTATAATTCTACTGCGTTACTAACGTGGTAAGAGGTTTTTATGTATATTTTGACCTCCTTTTGGTAATTTACGTTGATTGCAAGTGCCAATGCAATGTGTACAAATAACTTTCTTTGTTCACTTCACAATATTTTACTTTTATATACATTGTCAAAATTTCATGAAAATTAGCATAAATATGGAGGCTTACTGCTTTTTTAAAAATTTTAAAAACTTAATAGTGGTAACACAGTAGAAATACAATGTATGATGAAAAATAATGCAAAATCAGTCATAAATCGCATATAACATAGAAACTATTACTTTTATCATAAAATATGTTGGTTCATTTTTAAGAGTGCCGCTTTAAACATTTAATATTTCAATAATATTTGAAATGTTATATATTTTTATAGAGATTTATGTAATTATGATAAGTGTTATTCATTTCTATGATAATTTAATTACTATATGAATGTATATGATTTATCTTTTAAAAATATTGAATGAATATTTGAACGAAAGATTATTCTAAAATTTCTTGATTGTTATTTGATGCAAAAAGATTGCAGGGCATTGTTTAAATCACAATGTCTGTATTAATTATGTAATATGTATCAAACTAAAAATACAAAACAATAACAACAGTTTATTACTTTTCTTTGTTACCATTTCTTTCGCCTTTTCTAGTTGTATTTTTTCTTTGTTACAATATTTCCCTTTTTCTTGTTGTTTTTTCCTTTCTTTATAACCAAATATATTTTCATCTTTTCTTGTTGTTCGTTGTTATCCCTAACTTATTTTCTTAAAATTCTGAGGCATTAATATAAAAATACTTTAAGAATGAAATAAAAGTCTTCTCAGAGGTTACAATGCCCAGTGCTTAAATAATTTGCATGTAATACTTTGTGGTCCTTAACAAAATTTAAATAAGTCATGTCCCTTGGGTCAAAGCGGGTGCTGCCTTTGGCATCACTTAGTTTATACTTACTTAAACAGGAAAATACTTTAATGTCATTTTGTTTGAAAAAGCATTGCCCTAGCTACTTAAGATATTTTGCATGGTTGGTGGACCTTAACAAAGGTTATATAAATCGTGCCCATGAGATTAAAAATGACCCGTCTTGCACTGAAAATTTAAATTACAATAGACTTATTTAGTAAACTTGTATTATAAATCGTCTCTTCTGAAATTGCAATGCCAGTACATAGTTTTTTGGCCGGGTTGCACAGGTGCAAACCTGGGTTATAGTATGGTGAATGTAGGGCTGCGGGCGGGGACAAAACTTTTGCAACAGTTTTCTCAGCAGCTACTTATCACAGCCTCTTGATATTTGGCATACAACATTGACATGTGGTCCCATAATGTGGGATTCGATTTCAGGTCTGTCACTCATCCACTTCCTGTTTGCCAACTTAGTTAAATTTTCAACATTAATTATGGTCAATGGTATGAAATTTTCGTAACAGTTTTCTCAGCAACTACTTATCACAGCCTTTTGATATTTGGTATACAGAATTAACACATGGTCCCATACCGTGGGATTTGATTTAAGGTCTGTCGCACATCCACTTTCTGTTTGCCAACTAAGTTAAATTTTCAACATTAATATTAATGGTCAATGGTAGGTAATTTTCGTAACAGTTTTCTCAGCAACTACTTATCACAGCTTTTTGATATTTGGTTTACATCATCAGCACATAATCCCATACCTTGGGATTTGATTTCAGGTCCGTCGCTCATCCACTTCCTGTTTGCCAACTTAGTTACATTTTCAACATTAATGGTCAATGGAAGGAAATTTTCGTAACAGTTTACTCAGCAACTACTTATCACAGCCTTTTGATATTTGGTATACAGCATTAACACATGGTCCCATACCTTGGGATTTGATTTCATGTCTGTAGCTCATCCACTTCCTGTTTGCCGACTTAGTTAAATTTTCGACATAATTAATGATCAATAGTAGGAAATTTTCGTAACCGTTTTCTCAGCAACTACTTACCACAGCCTGTTGATATGTGGTTCACAGCATTGACATGCGGTCCCATATTGAGGGATTCCATTTCAGGTCTGTTGCTCATCCACTTCCGGTTTACTGACTGAGTTAAATTTTCAACATCAATGGTCACTCAGTGGTAGAAAATTTAAGTAACAATTCACAGCCTCATGATATTTTGTATACATATGCAACCCGGCCTTTTCTGTCTTTGACCCATTTTTTAGCATAAACATGTAGCATCACCTTGTGGTCCTTTGCAAAATGTAGGTAAGTCGTGCCCTTTGGGTAAGAAATAGCCCTTTAAAGCAGTAATATTTGCTACTAGTATTGGAAACAGATTTTAAAATCTTATCTTCGGAAACTACACAATGTTCAGAGCATAAATAATTTGCATTTAGCAACACCTTGTTGCCCCTCTTCCAAAGTTATATAAATCCTGTTTCTGTTGTTACTAATCAGTAATCATGCATATACGTGTATCATTTAGCTATTAGAAATTATAATATTAATTATGTACTGCTACAAATGTTAAATGAATTATGGCCCTGGCGTAAAAAATCTGGAGAAAGAGTGATCCCTTGGAAGCATTAATCACAATAAAACTTACATGAAAGTTGCAGACTGACAAAAAACTGACCTGGTCTTACTGTGACCATTTCCACATTTCTATATCGAAAATCTATGAATTTTCATAGTAGTAGTTATCAGGTGAGCAATCTATGGCCATCCTAGTTCTCTTGTTTGAAATATATTCCGAAATAGACAAGACTCTACTCATGTAGAAATTAAGCCATTGTCTAAATGCTATTTAAATACACAATTACCAGGCTTCGTCTCCTACCATTATTCCATTAACGGTTAACCTGCTGAATTTCTTAAATGAATTTGACCACCTTTGAATTTGGACAAAACGTTCATTGTTCAAAATATGCCCTCCTGACTGAATATCGAACATTACCGATCATGATCAGAAAGAAAACTTCAATTAACAGCTCACAAATTACAAGTTTATAGTTTTCAATAATATACTTTGTTTTACTATATAAGATAAAGAAAAATACACATTGACTCGATCATTTACAAAAAATGAATAAATGGGTCTTTTAGAAGACTACCAAATAATTCCAACAAATTCCAGCATTTTACTTTAAATTTACCAATTAATGCAAAAGCACTTTGAAACATAAAACCATTGTAATACATAATTTCCTTCATTAATTTTGTTTAATTTTCATTTTCGCAGTCTCTTTAAAAAAATCCCGTTCGTCTATACACATGATTTTTACATTGAAAAAAAAACTTTAGGTCTAATTAACTTGTACTCCTTTTCAATTAAAAAACACACACAAACAAATGACAGATGGGTAATTTATATTAACAAAGTTTATTAACTAAATTTATAGTCATTATTACACACAATAACATCCAATAAATGTGCAGGCGAAGTATGTTTGTTGATGTTATTTTGTTTTCATTGGCATACATCGTCACGTGATCAATTCAACGAAGGTGTGGACTAAGTTCATTTCCATTAAAGTTATGCCTTTAATCATTTATATCGCAACTTAATTACCAAACAAAAATGATGAAACACACTCCAGAATTATAACAAGTATTTAAACCATCGAAAAATTCTCATGTCATATAAATTGTAAATTTAGGTTTCACGTTTCACCCCAAGCAAAAAATAATGAACTCAACCAAAACAAGCATCTCTATGTATTTTAGCAAACCAAATTTCAGACCAAACCTATTGTAAACATAATGCTATGTCCACAGCAGATTTCGAACAGAAAAACAACGGACGTCAACTACCGTTCTTAGCCATATACATGTATTAAACAAAGATATGATCTCCATTTTACACAGTGTACACAGTTTTATGGTACAAAATGAATATGAAAGTCAATGTAAAGATAATCTTTTAGGTTAAAGTTCTTGACAGTGATTACATGATTTCTTATGCCCCCATTTAGTGGGATGGAGACATAAATACATGTAGAATTGCCCTTGTCACACTGTCGGGATGTTATTTTCTCTATCCATAGATGGACAAAACAGTGAATGTGGGGGCATGTGTGTCCTATGAACACATTGTTTAGTTTGTAACATCTTTTATTGAATTATACCATGTATATCTCACAATTGATATTGGGAATTTTTTATTAGAGTTAATATTCAATTTATGTTTAATTCATTTTCACATAATATTCTGAGTTATATGATACTTAGATGCTTTATGCTGATCAAGTGACTTTTATCACATGACAGTGATTGGAAGAGCAATTCAGTAGATTTGCATGTTTGAAAACAAAAATCTTTTTATACATAATAATTCTTATTGTCTTTTAATGGTAAGCCTACTATAATTCTATATGAAAATAAATGTTCAAGAGTAGTTTTACTACATGTATTAAACTGTTGTGTTTTGTTTTGTTTCATTTTTGATTTTTTGTACACGTTTATGACAGTTTATAGATGTAAAGGAAGACATTATTGATACAACTGAAATACATCTTCTTTGTTTCCTCAGACAAACATACAGCATATGGATTAATCACATTCTGCAATACAACCTTTCCTGTAGAGCAGTCTTCCGATATCTCTTCTATAACATTTCTATTCAAGTCACTCATGAATACAGTACAATGATTTGAAAGTGATATTCCTCTTGGTTCACCTGTACAGCTATAACTCCCTATCACATCACCTTGCCAGTTTAACCTTGTTACTGATTTCATCCCAAAGTCAGATACATAGATAGAACTTTTATTACATGTTACATGTAATGGTACTTTGAATAAAATTTTACCATCAATTGTTGTCAGTATAGTTGCATTCTTATCAAGGATCTGGAGTTTTGCAGGATAACGGAATGTCACAACAAGTTTACCTTGGTAACAGCTTATACCATGACATTGACCATTCACTTTCATAGTGTGCTTCTTTATGAGTTTATTTGATGAGACTGATATTAACAGTATTGTATGTTTGTTAGGAAGTGTGACAGCAAGTTCGGTACTGGTTACTGTCGTGATATCCCATGGCATGTTATCTAGTTGTAGTTGATCAGACACACATTGTCTGCTGATATCCACCATCTTAACAGCTTTGTTATCACGGTCAGTGATGATAAGAAGATCAGGAGTCAGCAGAGTCATTCCTGTTATCCAGTAACTGCATTTATCTTTTGATGTCTTCACACAGATTTCTCCCTGATGTGAAAATTGTCTAGACTTTATTGGTGCAAATGGAGATTTTATATTTAATTTTTTTTGCGTCAATGTACCCAAAGAGTTCTCTGTTTTAAGAAGATCAAATATTGGCTCATTTGCTTTAAATGTGTGTTCTTTGATATCATATGAGGAAAGTTGTAGTTTCTTTCCCTCCTCATTTTGCATTGTTTTCTCAGCAAGTTTCAGTTCCATGAAGAGTTTATCAGCTTGTTTTGATGAGTTGAGATGTTTGATGGTGTCTGATGAGGACTTCAGAGATTGGGTTATATCTGCACATGTTGTTTCTACTGCTTTCAGATGTTTGTTATTTTCTTGTTCTATGACTTTAGCTGCATCTTCAATCTGTCTCTCAAGTTCATCTAGTCTTTGGTTGATTTCTTGCCGAAACTTTTTAATGTCTGCTAATGCATCTTCGAGAGAGCTGTTGGACTTATTTGTCATCTTTTTGACATCTTCCACAAACTTTTGATATTTGTCAGAAGTGTTATTTACTGCTTTCAAGATATCTTGGCATTCATTGCTGTCTATTATATCACCAGAAATATCGGGTATATAGTTGACTTTACATGATGTAGCATGGTGTTCTAGGGTAACACAAACACTGCAGAGTAATGCTTCATGGTCATGGCAGTAGAACTTGATCATTTCTTTCGGATGTTTGCAACAGGGTGTGGTAAGTTTATCAGACTGGTCTGTGTAGGTGGATGTTGGGGGTTGATGCAAAACTTTAGGCATTCTTGTTGCATCCAGAAGTGTATGCTGTTTTGAAAGTTTATGCTTTTTATGGACTATGAAGCAATTCTTGCATAAATGTTCCTTGCAGTCTGTGCAGTAACCATGGGCAGGAAGTCTGGTTCCTTCCTCATCACAAGGTTGACAGTAAACTTGAAGATCTTCATCTGATGCTATGGAATGTGTTGAAGATGAAAATTGTTTTGATGCTTTTTTTCCTGAGACAGCCATGTTTTATCTGAAATGTATTATAAATGTGTCTATTTTATGTTTGTCTGAGTTTCCTTTTGTGAATTAATAGAAATTAAAGATACTCTCCCACGCAACACGGGTCTTATTAAACATGAACATATTTGTTTACAGTTATTAGATATGCATTTCTATTTATTTTTTGCTCATCTGTCACAAAATCATGGTGAACATTTGTTATCGCTTTCCGCCCAGCGTCCAGCCGTCCAAAGTCTGTTCGTAAAATTTTATTTTAAACGATATTAACTCATAAACCGCTAAGCCAATTTCATTCAACTTTCACAGATATGTTTCTTTGTTGGTCACTTAAAAACGTTGTTCCAGGAATTTAATTTCATGCAGAACTCTGGTTGCAATGACAACCAAAAGAAAAAACTTTCTAGATGTAAGATCTTAAGCATGAAAAATCTTCTTATAGGTGTCTACTCAATTTGTTCAAATTAAAGCCCGTGGGTCAAAATTGGCCCCGCCCAGGGGGTCATTTATTTTTCTTATATGTACAAGATTACTTGTTTCTTGTCATGGAGAGTTTTATATTTAGGCGAGCGATATTAGGGCCATCATGGCCTCTTGTTTGTCTCTATTTTCTATGATATATTGTGCAGCAATCCTTAATACCAACAAATCTACTTGCAACCGGTTAAGAGGTGTGTGTATTTAAGTCAATATTTACAAAATAAAACTATAAAACGTTTTTTTATAAATAAAGGCATCATAAACATAGCAAAAATTTTACCTTTATGTTTTATCTTCGGACACAACATCTATTCATCAACTATAGTTCAATATAAATGCATGAGCCTGTGGTGAAATTTTATCTTTTGATAACATTTTATTTCAAAAACGCCCAAACTACATTTGTGTAGGGATAGTTGTTATAAGCAGATAAATTGAAACATGGACAATAATTAACTTCCTTACATTATAATATATCTTTTGTGAAAAAAATCAGGGAATATCTACAGTACTGATTTAACCATGTAGACGTGCATCATGGGAAATCGTAATACATTGACAATCATGATCACCTTTAGGCTGACGATGTTGTGCAAGGTCCAAACATTCAAAGTTAAGGTCGTACTTTAAGGTCAAGGTCAAATGCAGTCCAGCTTATAAATTGGTCAAATTTGATGGATGTTGAAATGTTAGTCAGACTATGTCCCATGCAAAACCCACTACGGCAATTTTAAGGACAAGGTCTACATGGAGGTCATAGGTCAAATCGTGTCTAGCTTAAAATATTATCATTTCATGATGTCCAAACATTGGAAGTTGAATGGGGGTATCTGTATGATATGGACACATTTCTAGTCTATTGATATACAGTTGAGTTCACACTAAAGGTTACACAAAGTGCACTAGGAGTGCACTAGATGTGCACTACTAGTGCACTACAAAGTGCACTACTAGTGCACTTCATAAGTGCACTTTGTAGTGCACCAGACCTATTATTATATTAAGCAGTTACCTTTTATTTCACTGAATAGCAATTTGACTTTTACAAAAAGATAGAAAATATAGATATCTGTTTAATAGTTTTTCAATAAAAATTTGAAATTGTGATTATTGGATTTTCTGTGAAATATGGCGTAAAATATTCGAACAAATGAATTTCAAAGTCATTAATTTTACTGATTTTGTACTTTAAAATTTAATTGTTAGAATAAGTAATTTAAATATATAAATAATTATAACTTTAATGTTGATAAGTGCATAAATAAACAAACTTAATTGATATTTAATATGATTCTATTTTTGTTTATAATCTGGAAATGAAATTGCTAATCAAACAAAAGTAAGTCAGTTCTTTTTTGGGGGGGAGGGGGAATTATACCGTAGTATTAGTTATTTTTGATCTTAACTTATGGTTTTTTAGTTAAAGGTAATGATTTTAAGCATTAATAGCCTTTAATACATTAAAGAATTAATATGTTTATAATTGGCCTAAATTTTGTCAATTTTATTTCATTTATAATCTCTCTTACCTTCTCAAACTGAGATTTACCTAAGATTAATATAAATGATATATATTATTCTGAAAATAAATATTTATATAATTATAATGGTGGTATGTATTGATATGTGTGGATTAAGTATTGATATGTACATGTGGGATACTAGTATACTTAAACTGACATGGATATTAACAAAAAGATTAGAAAATCTGTCAATTCCATTTTTTGAGACGACACCAATCTTTTTTCCTTTTTTTTTCATGCATTGTAACATTATTATGCAATATGATTAATTTTATGAGTTTATTATAAATTGCAAAAAATTCATTTTTCTTTTGTACTATTTGTAATGAAATTTATTTGCACCAACATCCAGAGAATACAGAATTTACATCGCCTAATCTGGCTTATGTTATTTACCCTGAGGGACTCTCTTATCAGCAGGGTACTATATCAAAACACCTATACACAGCATGACTTTTGACACTTTAATCTCCTGTAACTGTTTTCTGCTCATGTATGATATTAAATTAAAAAAAAAAAAAAAAAAAAAAAAAAAAAAGAGAAAAAAAAACAAAAAAACAGATCTGCATTAAAGTGAAAAGGAAGTTGCAAAAGTTTTATAATCATGTATTTAAATATTTTCTTTAAAATATATTATCTTCTAAACAAGGTAAATTTGTCAAATCTATATTAAAAAAAATAACATTTCCCAGTTCAAAAACTAAAAGATGCTGCAAATTTTAATGCAGAATTGCAAGAAATGTGAAAAAATATTGATACACAGTCTTTGTAGAATAGTCAACACTGATATTGGTTTTAAACCAGTTTTTTATAATAAGATTAGAAAATTCCACTTCAAAGACAATAAATGACAATAATATCTAACGTGCGTTTATGACAAGATTATTTTTTATATTTGATTATACAAAAAGTATAGTCATTTATCGATGACTTACATGTATTTTGGGGGAAAAAAGGAAATTTTCAATAAATATTGCATACATTTGCATTTTTGTTATTTACCCTGAGGCCCTCTTATCAGCAGGAGACCAGTGTAATGAAAACAGTCGCTCTAAAAAAATACCAATACACAGCATGACTCGAGACTTTCCTCTTGTATAAAAACATTCCCTTTATACATTACATTTTTAATGTAGAAATCTTTAATAAAGTTATCAATTTTATTTATTTTATGGAAAAATTTTGATTATGTATATCTTTAAAAAGTATGCAAGCATTTTATGGTTGAAAAACATAATATCACAGTGTATAAAATGTTTTAAAATCAATAAATTAATATTCTCTTTCAATCTTGAACATGAGGAATTGCCTCTTAAGTTATATATTATCACTGATTTATATTAATAGTATATAGTAATATAAATCTGTGATATTATTATGCAGAATGGCAAGAAATGTGGATAAATGGATACATATAGAAAATTCCGCTTTAGAGACAATAATATCAGAGACATAGATAACATCTATCTATGTCTCTGATAATATCTATTATGCATTTATGCCTTTATGTTTTTTTTGTATATTTGATTATACAAAAATTATGGTCATTTACTGAGTGCCAACGCCTGATGAATCCCAGGCTTATGTCTAACATGCATTTTGAGAAAACCAGGGAATTTCAATGCATTCTTATAAATCTGCAAAATTGACTGTTCTTTGTTATTTACCCTGAGGCCCTCTTATCAGCAGGAGAGTGGTATATTGAAAACAGTCCCTCTCAGAAAATACCAATACACAGCATGACTTGAGATTTTCCTCTTCAATAAAAGTATTCCCTTTATACATTAAATTTTTAATATTGAAATAATGAATAAAGATATCAAATTTATTTATTTTATGGATAATATTTAAATTATTTGCATAAACATATGCAAGCATTACACAGTTGAATACTAAATTATCACAGTATATTGTTTTAAAATCAATGTATTAATATTCTCTTTCAATATTGAACATGATGAATTGTCTCTAAGTTATATATTATAGAAATAATATTTTAGCTTAAATATAACCTTTCCTTTATTTGTTTAAGCTTATGAAAACAAGTTTATGATGTAACAAACTAAATTAATTGGGCCAGAATTATCACATTGATTTATACCATTTGTACACTAGAAAAATTGAAATATATGGCCATTTAAAAAAGCTTTAAAAACACTTATTTAATTATCCATTACGGAGCATATTTAAATTTAACCTTATTAATTCTATAAATTTGATTTTAAGGGGTATTATTTTTCACTTACAGTTAAATACTGGTTAATAAAAATATGATTACAATAAATGAAAAAAAAAAACATTTTAATTTTAAGCTTCAACATGATAATCACCTAAAATGTTAAAATTGCTGATTATATATTCATGAATAGGCCATATATATATTTTCCCAATTTTTTTTCATACAGCAGCGTAACAATTGATGCCCCCCCCCACTTGATATTACAATTATCCAATAAACCATTTAGGTGTCACCTTCCCTGGCCAGCCTGGTCATATGGTCTAGTGCACTACAAGTGCACTTCTAGTTCAGCTCTAGTGCACTAGAAGTGCACAAGGGTGGGAAGTTTAGTGTGAACTCAACTGTATGGTACTTAATATAAAGACATGTATATACATGTACAATAAGTTCCTTGACAAATAAGGCTAGATTTATCATAGTGATATATATATTTAACATAAAGTTTTCTTTAATTTTTGAGTTTATGTCTTTTTCAATAAAACATGTTTTTGAAGCCTGTTGTAAATTTAGCTATTGAAAACACTGTCATGTAGTCAGAGAAAATGGTATAATAATCTTAAAAATTAAGTCATTATAAAAAGAAAAGTGTACTTTTGTAAAATGTAGATTTTTTGTTTGCTCAGATCAACCTTATTATGTAGGTTAATTAATTCCTCAAAGACTAGCATATTCATTTTAAACTTGAAGTATTTGGTCACTATTAAACTTTAATTTATAAGGGAGAAATAACCCTAAAGGTCATTTAAATTATCTCCCTTTAAATTTTTCAATATTTACATAATGATCCCAAAAACCATCACAGGATTGTTTATCATAATTATGCCCGTTTTTCTACTTTAATGCATTTGTCATCCATTCTCTCAAGTACTGTGAAAAGTGAAACATGCTGCTCACTCATATTACAGCTCTTCTTACTGTTAAGAAATGCCTTTTATATTCAATTGACATATAAGCAAGATTAAACTTGTTTAGATATCTTTAAATTAAATTACACCACAACCGTAAAACTAAAAACATTATGTCATTAAAATACATTTTTAACGCATGATTATATTATTTAGGGATAATTTAAAGATATTGTACCTTTATGTAATCCTCAAAATCTTTTCTAAAGTTTTAAATCGTTCACAGTATTTTCCGCAGGTGAAATGTTGATTGTAAATATTTTGCTGTCGTTATTGGATTTATGGAATTTGATACCGAAATTTACTTCCTTGTCGGAAACATTGATTTTTACAGTGTTTACACTTCAAAAGTTTAAATCTTACAGATAGCACTTGTGTTGTAAACACAATAAGTAAAATATATACATGTATTGAATGTATTAAATTTTAGCTTTAATTTTAGCCTTTAATATTAAACAACTCTTATCTCTTATTCCTTTCTTTTACGGTGATCATGGCAAAATTATTCATCCTATAAATCACCAATCTCCTACGCAGTGATCTCCCCTTACAGGCCGTAGCGGTGTTTGATAAATCACAGCTAGTTTATCCAGTGGCGTAGCTACTATTAGGCCATGTTGACCAGGGTCTACAAGTTGATCAAGAAATTGACATTTTCAAAGTCCCAAAAATACTGTTAACACAGGTGTGGATGGGGTTGGTAGTGGTTTCAAGCTGTACGGTCAAATAAGTGTGTTTTAGGCTTATAATTGCATGATTTACTGTCCTCAGTAAACTGTACATCTAATCAAATTCTTAGTTTAAAATAATTGTATTGATAAGTTTCCTTGAAAATACTTTGGAATGCGCATTTAGCTCTTTTTAATATGAACTTGATTTGGGCTTCGGGGGCTGAGCCCCCAGACCCTCTTTTACTGGCCTACAAGTTGAAAAAAGCTGGCTACGCCCCTGTTATCAGTGTGTACATGTTAACCTATATATGAATCATATACTGTGTTGTATGTTGATTGTTGACAATTACCCAACAACTACATTAGAAACTAAATGTACAGTACTCACACAAAATGTCCAACAATTCTTTGTAACAAACATTATTAAAGATAAGATGTGACTTCAATAGTCCTAAACATTTTAACAGTGACTGTTATACATGTATAACCGGTATCTAAATTGATATCTCAGGGAAAGTGTATTACAAATGTTAAAACTATGACTTGCACCTTCACATGCAATTATAAACTTAGTAAGTTTTATATCTAACTTTTGAGCATAAAAGCACTTATTTTTTAAAAGTTTTGTTGTTGTTTTTTTCTTCAGAATATGTAAAAATATTTACATGAATATTTCAAATGGAATACCAAAGATATTCAGAGTCAAGGGAGGTTATCTTTAGAAAGTCCAGGTCACAAAGATCACAGTATATCGGCTTGTGTTGGAGGCTCGCACCTTGACAGCCGAGGTGTTGTGATAGGTGGTAAAGTTGATCTACAAGGCATCTCCACTTACTGTGAGTACTCCTGACTTAGCCCGAAACTGCCTAAACATAGAAACCTTTACTTTAGAAAAGTGTCTAAATTGCCATCTTAATGACTTGATGATCTGCCAACAAAGATAATTTTTTCTTTAATTTATGCAATTATAAACTTAATTAGTTTTATATCTAAACTTTAAGCATAAAAGCACTTTCTTTTTATAAGTTTTGTTGTTGTTTTTTCTATTCTTTTCAGAATATGTAAAAAAATATGAATATGAATATATCAGATGGAATACCAAAGATATTCAGAGTCAATGGAGATTATCTATAGATAGTACAGGTTACAAAGATCTCAGTATATCAGCTGGTCTCGGAGGGTCGCACCTTGACAGCCGAGGTGGTGTAATAGGTGGTAAAATTGATCTACAAGGCATCTCCACTTATTATGAGTACTCCTGACTTAGGCCGAAATAGGGCCCGTAAGTCTCGTTTACTTTCACTTTCGATTTACCACTTCCGGGTACATCGGCAGACTTATTTACCGTTACGCATATAGGTAACCCGAAGAACTCGAGGGATATAGAAGTTAAATTTGTTTCGGTCCTCTTCAGATTTGAAGGAATGGATAGCACGGGTCAAAAAATGCAGGTAGGTCAATTATCTGACGGAAAAACGAGGGATTTATAGAGTTTAATAAAACTAGTTTATTTTCGGATAGTGACAATTGTTTCGGATGTTTTGTCAAGGTAGTGAATTCTAGTTGTTTAGCTTTTAGTATTGTTTTAAAACTACTGATGTGAGAAATTAATTCAAGCCATTTTAACTTATTGAAATAAACAATGGAGAAACACTTTAATTCTAGTGTATATTAAAGTTATACAAAATTCAGACATTGCACAGTAATTCGGATATTTTTTCCCTTCCATTTTATTCTTGTTCCTTTTTCAATTATATATACATGTTAATATGGTACCTATCAAATTATGATTGAATTAAAAATATAATATTTGATTAAACCATTTCAGATGTATAGACAAGGAGGTATATATGACAAGTATAGAATATACAGTTGTTCAATATGGACCATTAATCAACTGTTTGCACTGCCTATACTGTGCTCCTCTTAGTTCACAGTACTTAACACTTTAAAACAGTAAAGAACACAAACAATAAACTTACACTACAAAAACTGTTATAAACTGAATCATTTAGTCATTTTTTCTGCTATATTACACAAGGAAACAACAACATATTCAATCAAAATTAGTTTTAATTTGTCAGATGTGAACCGTGTGTCGGCCATTTTGAAAACAGTATGTCATCATTTACCTCGCGGTAATGGTGTTTTATTTCAGTTTTTTCACGTTTCAGTTAAAATTGCTCTAAGTTATTTTGCATAAATTTAAATATTAAAAGTATCTTTACATTGTAACTCAAAATTTATTTTTTCAACTAACAAGAACATTTAGAAAATGATGATTGTTTCAGACGTATGCACAAATTTAATGGACTATTGTTATTTTTTGCAGAAGTTTGTAAAATGTTGTTCAGTTTTACGTAAAAATCTATAGATTTAAATTATTTTGCACAAAAACTTTGTTGTTAAGGTGTTTGAATAACATATGTCAATTCTGACCAATTATGTCAATGGTCACATGAAAATATGCCATTACCGTGAGATAAGTGATGACGCGGTATTAGTGATGTTGAGTATATGATCCTGAAATATCTATACATCAAAGGTAAATACATGTAAAATAATTGATATATTTTTAGTTGAGATCAGAAAGATAAACAATTATCAAAATATATTAATTACTTTTGGATTTCACTGCATGATAATTGATAAGTAAATAAAACATTAAAAATAATCATGTTTCACATTCAAGAAGATCAATATTTTTTACTGTTATATATTACGTGTTGTTGTTTATCTTTAATGTTTATTTACTTCAAATATGAATTTTTTCTGTCAATCATGACCAGCTTATTAAATGTAATGTAAATATCATTTCTAGTGTCTTACACTAGCTTGTAACAACATATTTATTGATTTTTCATTCTGCAGATAAAAAGGGAAAAGATGAAGGAGGATTTGTCCATGAAGACCTTTATTGCAACTACCATCTTCCAGTTCCTTAATTTGAGAATGATATCAGAGAACACAAAGTTACAGTAAAATATTAGTTTAATATAAGCCACTGAGAATAGTCAAATGTACTTTCCTGAAGAAGATGAATGACATCCAGCACAAAAATATTAATGTATAAAGAGTATGATTTTATGGTGTTTGACACTATGATCTTGTTAACATGTTAATGTCACAATGATAGAAACAGAGTAAAATATCCACATTTCATTGCAGTTTTAAGTATTAAAACTAGATACTCTATATATACCAAAGCTTATACACACCAGAGATAAGGTTTTTCATGGAATCACCGTATAGTCATATGACATTATGGACATTAAATGACTATGAAGTAAAGATTAGCAAAAATATTATATATCATCTACTACTAATATTGTGAGGTAATCATTGATAAGCTCACAAATTTGCATTCAAAGCTTTGATATCAAGCTGAACATTTTTCAATTAGAATATGATTTATAACTCTATGATAATTTGTTCATGTTAATTTTCAAAGTCTTTACATTTGTAAAAGGAAATATTCTTATTCTTGTATCAGTAGACATTCACAGTGTAAAGTTACATTGTCCAAATAACTAATAATAATTCCAAGTGCTTTCCTGAAGTTTTTCTTCCACTGGAAAATCAGTGTGATATATATGCTAAGCAGTGCACTATAAATTGTGTAAAAATAAAAGTTTATTAAACTTATGAACTGTTTTTTGTTTCTACTATTTGGCATATATTTATAGCAGTGCTTAATCATAAAAGTTCATCTGCAAAATAAGTGTCACTGTGTACTTTAATTTTCTAACAGCAATGGCTAGATTGCTTGAATATGCAAACATATTGACTATATTAAATACTATGCATGTCATTTGAATTTGTCTGTCCTGAACTCGAAAAAGACACTATCTAAATAATATTGATGAAAAGTTCTTGACAGCTCTTCAATGACTACATTTACACATATGTACATGGACAGAAGTTAAAAGCATTGTGAGGTGTTTTTTGGGGTTTTTTTTTGAAACATTGACAATTTTGAAACAGTTCCAATGGGTATATTAATGTATCAGTGATGTAATTGTTTTGTATCAAGTGCAAACCCTAAGTTTTGCATGTGTTGTATAGATAATTCACTTTTGGTCAAATGTCAACAGGTTCAATACATTATAAAACAGGTAATTTGAAACCCAAAGAAGTATATGGTATGTAATAACTACCCCTCTGATACTAAAATCTTCAAGGAATGCAGAATTGCAAGTCTTCTCCAATTAAGAGAGAGACTTGGGCTTACAAGGGCTAGCAAGCTAGTGTTTTGCTACAGAATACTCAACACAGATGAATTGCATTAATATTGTTTACTCTGGTATTACTACCTGCCATGTACAATGCAAATCATGGCTTTTCTAAGAGCAGTGAAAGGCTATAACTGGAAGAAATTTTACACATCTTGCCTCAGAAACAAGTTTTTCTTTGAGATGATTTTTATGATATTTAAATAATGGTTAAAGATTACATTACTTTTACAATTGCAGTGATCATGGTGATAATATGAAATGAAACTCAATCAAGATAGAAACATTTTAATGCTGAACATTAATCTTTTTACCATTCCTGTTACTTTACAAGTCTATTTATAACAAATTTATCTTAACTGTTTTGAAACTACATGATGCCTGGTTGAAACTGTTTTGGGCAGCCATTTGCAGAAGATAAATTATCTTTGAATAATTAAGTTAATACAAAGTTACAAATGACAGGTTATTTATTTCTAACAAAGACAGGTTATTTATTTCTTACAAAGACAGATATTTTGTTTAACATTTTTACACTGACATATATCTTTGAAGTGTCTTCAACCTTAGTTTTTATCAGAATACAAACATTCAGTCAGACAGTTTACACAAGACATGGAGCTTTAAGAAGCTTTAATTCAGTCAAAATCTGTAATGGACTGCCATGTCTCTACCACTATGTACTCCAAGACTGTGTATGGACATTTCCTTTCAACTATGCCTGGTGGTATCACTATTTGATTTCTAATCTGATGGTGAACACTCCAAAATAAATCAAGAGCCATGACAAGTACTCAAGATCCAACCATGAAATCACATACCTGTATATAAAGAAAATTTATCATGAGTTGAAAGCAATAATAATTGGTCAGCTATAGATTTCAATCATTTTCATATTGTCATGAATAGAAAATAATGTTGAAAAGGAAGAAACACTTCTTGGTGTCCTAGTTTTTGTAGATTTGCTTTGACAACTGATCTTTAAAAAATGTGATAGTGACTAAGTTCTTTTAACCATTTACTGAACATGATTTAACTGAAAAATATGACCCACTTACTTGAGAAAAATACTTTAAACAGTATTTAACATGAATTAACTACATATGCCATACTGTTTGTTTATTTATCTACACTGTAATTATTTACAAAAATGAGAACATTATATGTTATACAATAATATTTATTTTTCATTAATGTAGTTTAAGTAGCTTTCAGTATATATTTCTTACCAAAACGATTTTACAGCAGAACATGCATGTGTATTTACATCGGATACCAGTTGACGTCTTTTATCTCACCACTTTCCTCAGTCTAAATATCTACAGGAGCAAAATATTTCACTGAATTTTATGACAATTTAAATTGGTTATATACAGCTTGACTGTTTGTGCTTTATAAAGATAATAATTATAAATAAATAATATTTTCAGTTGGAAGAAAATATATTTAACTAAAACACACTGATAATCATATTGAAACGTTTATCCGAAATATGCGCTGTCCGAAATTTCTAAACATTATATACTTCTGAGAGATAATCAGGTAGCGCTATAGAAAATTGATAAAATCAAATTCACCAGTCTGGTGTCAGATGCGAATGATGTTGTATCAAAAAACAAATCTATTAGATTTACATGGAAATGAAAATATTACAACATTTATTTGGATAAACTAAATTTGAAATGACACACCCACCTGAAGATTATACGAAGTTGTCTTTCATTGATACTTGTGCACAAGATGAGACCATTTGCATTTCGTTACAAAACAAAAAACTCTGCCAATTTCCACATATCATTTGCTTTTCCATGTAAGTTTTACTTTCCCACCGGCATACAAGTATTACCCAATATAGATAAGCAATGCTGGATTGTTGATATTTGTTTGTACCCGGAAGTGCAAAATATCGTGAAATCTCGCAAGTCACATGACGAGACTTACATACCCTATTGCCTCAACATAGAAACCTGTACTTGGGAAAAGTTTCTGAATTGCCATCTTAATGACTTGATAATCTGGCAGAAAGATCAGTTTTTCTTTTATTTAAAAGCATTATTTGCATTACTTTGAACTTGAAACAAAGTTTTAATCAAATCATTTAAGTTGTACTTTCATACGCATAGAGCTTGGTAAACTGGTCAGATAGCCCGATTTGCAGGCTAGCCGGACTATATTGATGGCAAAAGGCTAAACACTTTCCGAACCTGTTAAAGGTTGAAAAAGGATTACTTATGTATTTTTGATTTCTACTGATTAACATTACTGACTTGACCAAATTGTTAACATGATTGACTTGGCATTGTACAAGTGGAAAACATTGCTGACTTGGCCAGATGGTTAACAATGCTGACACAGCCAAGTGGTTAACATTGTTGACTTTGCCAAGTGATAGTTTAAACATATTTTATTCCTTTCAATTTTTTACAATATGTACAATGCAAATATATAGAAAGAAAAATATATAAATACATTTTGAAAGAAAAAGGGTTGGACCACAAGTTCAAATAACATTAGTAAATCGGTCCGTCCCTAGTACGAATATAAAAAAAGTATTGATACAATATAGATTACATTGAAATGGCATTGAGAAATATAACAAAGTACATGTATTTTAGGAACAAGAAATGTTAGATCATTTGCTGAGAGAGAGAGAGAGAGAGAGAGAGAGAGAGAGAGAGGATGTAATTTTGACAGTCGCAATTTATTTTTTTAAAGAGTAAAAAACTTCAGCATTAAGCAGATTTTATCGGAAGCGTTCCGTATGCTTAATATATCTTTGAACTTCTAAAAATATTAATGAATTGTCTTCTTCGGAATAGGTAATCTTACCAAAAAGAAGAGTACACGTATTTAATGGATGAAAAATGCGAGTAGCATTAAAAAGTTGAATACGTTGTGATGTATACCGTCTGCAATTGAAAACGAAATGTTCAGCATCTTCGAAAGCATAACCGCATTCACAAGATGCATTTTCTCTTAAATGATTTATAAATAAATCAGCATTTAAATTGCTACATTTGTTACGAATTTGAGCATGTAGAACCGAATGTAGACGATCCCCGATACAGAAAAAATTAGGAACTGTCGGAGGTTTGTATTTCTGTTTAAGTTTGCATTTAAATATATTAAGGGAGGATGAATTTCTTATGTCGGTATCCAAGTTATTCCATAATTACGTTGCTGATGGAATAAATTAGTTTGTAAAAATTTGAGTACGACGTGCTACAGTTGTATAATTATCTCTGTTTCTTAAGACATAAGGTACATTATTAGAAACGGTATCTGGAAAAACGTTTAATAAATAATCCGGTAAGGTGCCCTGTTTAGCTTTATACACTGTAACGAGTTTTTGAATAGTTCGTCTGTCAGACAATGATACCCAACCGATTTCATTAAGCAAACGCTCAATAGAAACAGACCTTGTTAGGCCGGTGACGATACGTGCCGCTTCATATTGAAGTTTCTCAAGAGAGTGTTTCTCGTAATCCGCGCATCCATCCCAGACAATTGACAATTCTAAGATTGGTCTCATGTAGGAAATGTATATTTGATTTAAAGTTTTCCGTTTAAGTTTGTATTTTAATGCTCTCATAGATCCTAGAACTTTGGAAGCAGACATTAATATATTGTTTATGTGGTCATGCCATTTACCATCAGTACTAAAAGTGACACCTAAGTGTTTGTGACTGTTAACATAATCAAGAGAAACATTATCAAAGTAGAGAGATGGCTATCGTCAGATCCAAGTGTGAAAAATAACACTTCTGTTTTGTTAGGATTAAAGTTAACTAGCCAACGTTTCGACCATTCCGTAATTTTATTTAAGTCTTCATTAAGGGTACGTTCCATAAAAGCAATATCAGAACTGGAAACTGCGAGAGAGCTATCATCTGCAAAAAGTCTTGTTACACTGATTAGATTATCGGCAATGTCATTGACATAAATTAAAAATAATAAGGGGCCAAGGACAGAGCCTTGGGGGACCCCAGCAGTGATATGTTTACTTTCAGAATAGGAGGAACCAACAAAGACCTTTTGATTTCGATTACTTAGATAATTATTAACCCATTTTAGAATCTGATCATTAATTCCGTATTGTTTTAATTTGAATATAAGTCCTTCGTGCCATACTCTATCGAAGGCTTTTGAAATGTCACAAAAAACCATACATGTTGGGATTTTATTATCAAAAGAATAACAAATTTGATGGTAGATGTCAAGTAATTGATACACAGTCGAATGCCCTGGCAAAAATCCAGACTGATTTTCGTAAATTAATTTATTTGCGTGTAAATGGTTATAAATGTGTTTAAACATAACTCTTTCCATAATTTTTCCAGTACAACTAATTAATGAAATCGGTCTATAGTTCGAAGGGATATTTTTATTACCCTTTTTAAAAAGCGGCATGACAACAGCTGATTTCCAAGGGGCCGGATATATACTTTCAGATAGTGAACGGTTAAATAGAATACAAAGAGGCTTACAAATAGAGGCCTTACATTCTTTTAGCATACGATGACTTACTTCATCTGGGCCTGATGACTTATTAATTACAAGGGACGATAATATATCAATAATTTCCATTTCAAGAATAGATAACATCATTTCCATTAATTTCAATATTTAAGTGATAGACATCGCTGACTTGGCCAGATGGTAAACATTGCTGCCTTGGCCAAGTGCACGTGGTAGGCATAGTTGTCTTTGCCAAGTGGTAAACATAGCTGTCTTGACAAAGTGGTAAACATAGCTGTCTACAAAGTGGTAAACATAGTGGTAAACATGGTTGACTTAACCAAGTGCAAAAGGTAAACAAATCTGACTTGGCCAAGTGGTAAATATCTAGATTACTGTTTATTCTTTCATGGTAAAATCTAAAATTGAACACAGTTATGACAAAACGTCAAGTTATTTTGATTTTCATCTGTTCACCGACCATTTTTCAATAGATTGGCATAATGTCACATTTAGCTTTTGTCTAAATGCTGTATAAATACACAATTACCAGGCTTCGTTTTCTATCATTCTTCCATACAAAGTTTTAATCTGCTGAATTTCTTAAATGAATTTGTCCACAAACCGATCAGAAAGTAAATTTCAATTAAGAGTTCACAAATTATAAAGTTTTCAATGATAAACTTTGTTTTACTAAATCACATAAAAATAAATATTGACTCAATCATGTATAATAATATGAATAAATGATATTTTAGAAGACTACCAAACAATTCCAACAAATTTCCAGCATTTTACTTTAAATTTACCAATAAATGCAAAAGCACATTGAAACATAAAATCATTGTAATTATATAATATATAAATTCCTGCATTAATTTTGTTTATTATTCATTTTGTCAATTTCGCAAAGTCCCTTAAAAAGTTCCCGTTCGTCCATACACATGTTTCTGTAGTGTTGAAAAACCTTTGATAGGTTGTAATTAACTTGTACACCTATTCAAACTTTCTAAAAACAAACACAAAAAAACACAACAAATGACAGGTCAGTTATTTATATTAACAAAGTTTATTAACTAAATGTATAGTCATTATTAAACACAATAACATCCAATTAATGTACAGACGAAATATGTAAACATTTTATTAAAGCAAAAAAAAAAAATAATGCATATGAACACAATGAATGTAACATTTAACACTGCATTTCATTATTGCCTTTTGAAATTATTTGTCAGGGTGAAACGACCGTTTTTATATGTTCGTGAAACTTTGGCATATCTCGCCATTTTCCATGTCTTATCCATGGGTACGTAAACGTGGCGAGCATCGGTTTTACATTTGAAGAATTTGGGACGGCGGAGAAGAAAATCGAGACTTGTATCATGCGGACCACCTGGCGATGTTCTGAATGAAGCCGAGGGGAATGGTTTCTTACTTTTGGTTTACTCAATCTGACTAAAGTTTAGATCAACTTTTTTCTTTTATGTAGATGACGGCCTTCTTTATAATTTGGATTTCCCGACAAAGCTATTTTAGCCGTGCAAACAAACCGGTTTTTACAAAGGCATTAGACATGTTAGAAGAAGAATACCGATATCCGTGGAAGTTAAACAAATTGTTGATTTTTGTTAGAAAAAAATATTTGAACTAATGTCTAACAAATTAACTAGTCAATTTTTAATGGGCAAGATTGTTTTGCCAGTTTACCTGTCAGCTATATGGACAACGCCATTTTTGTTCTGTTCCCGAAATCGTGCATGAAACTTACATACTCAGTATTGCTTTTCCCATGTTTAAAATTAGAAATCGCATCGTTTTCAAAATTATGAAAGCTCGCCGATGATTGGTTGTATGAAATGTCATCAGAAATGACTTCGTATTTGGTCACGGCCAGATGTAAAAGCAGAGCGTTATCTAATTAGAGCTGATTTTAATCAGATTGTGTTATACAAATCTAGGATCCGGAAATTGACGAACTATGCCGAATGCTTTCACGAGTCTACGCGTACGATGGTCGTATTACGTGCCCGAACAAAGCTAACATGTTTTAAATAACTGTATAATTAAATGAGATGCAAACAATAATAATTTAAGCGATTGCAGTACTTTGTTGCAATGAACCCTAGGGCTTGTAAGCATTTTTGTATGGAATTGCAGCTTAATTAAACAATATTGCCTTCACAACCGTCTTTTCATGTTTGATTTGAAACAATTATACATGCTAGGAAAGAACAAAAAATACCATTTCTATATCATATATATAAAACAAAATATGTGACAGCCAACAATATGTGAAAATTATAGTATTGTCTTGAAATGAAACTTGCAAGCAAAGATAGGGTGATCATGATGTCCATTTTTCCGTGACAAGACTATAACACTTATGACGGAAAATGTCGAATCCTGACAAATTCAATTGTTATTGCTTCTGAAAATGAATATGGTAATTTGGTAAGGTTTTGAAATGGTTAGATACACACCAATAGACTGAGTAATGTAGATTTCTGACATAATGTTCTAATAGTTTCCATGATGCCGGCGTGTGGTGAATGCGTATAATAGAGTTGTCGTTCTTTGCATATTAAACTGTTAATTTCATTATTCAGGGTTTATATGAAATGTTTCAGTAGAAAAAAAAAACATGAACTGCATACAGTATACATATATCAGTGTAGCAAAATTGCGCGGGTCTTTCCCAGATTTTCAACTCTTGCACCGAATGAGAAGAATTTAAATGGCAAGATTCCAGGTTAAAAAGAAAATTTATGACATAAGATTTGATCAGACACTCGCACAGCATGGTCACTAACCAATGAAAATTCCGACATTCAAGATAAGATTTATGACAATATCCAAGACGAAGCTATGAAACCAGCTATAATAGACCAGTACTGTAATACACTCTTTTAAAAATATATCATAAAATAATTTGTCAAAATAAGGTAACATTTCATTAACAAAATAACTGTGAAATCCGTGAATACAAAGTTAATGTCCTAGTTATTATAGTAGTATTTTGCATGGCACATCTTAAATGTACATAATAATGTCATTATTTTAATGATATTTTTAACGTAACAAAGTAATTTATACACGTTCTCAGTTTGATAAAGTGATACCCTTTTTTACTTACAATTATGCATTTATGCAAACAGCTTCCTCAATTATCTTTTTAAGTACGTAGTTGAGAAGTAAACTTGTAAATGTATATTGGACTCGTCTTGCTGGACGGAACAATCCAATACTGTTTGTCCCTCATGATACTCGTCCAATAAAACACTTTAGTAAGCTAATACATTAAATTCGGTTATATACTAGGAAGAAAAAACCTAATGGAAATTTGATGATTAATTTGATTTCAAATGCTAACACATTCCTGTAGCTGCAATGTATCAGTCACTTTTTCATGTTTCAAAGAGTAAAGTATTTACTTTTCAAGACTGTTAGAAAAAGACCTTTAATTAGACGAAAATGTACACCTTTACGGAACAAGAGCTGTCGGTAGGTCAGCATGCTCGACTATTCTCAGTGCTTGATAGTAAAACAAGAGCCTGAATAATGTATATGTTTTAAATAAAAAAGGGCCTTTATTCCGTCACACTTCGTGAGTTATGGGCCTTTGATATTGACCTCCTCTCAAATAATGTGTATTCCCTTTAGTAGTTTTGGAGAAACCAACTTTCACTCAAAACCTTTACCAAAGTTTGACGCCAACACCGAGGTTAAAAGCACGTTGAGAGCAATAGATCTCTCTATTCTTCAAATAGTCGAGTTTGGAATATGCTTAAACATAGTATAATGTTTCCAAAGCCAACACGACTTCTTCCGTATGAGGGTGTATTGTGTATATATATAGACCCCACTATTGTCAAATAAACAAAACGGACAGTATCATAAGTAATAGAAAGAGCACCGAAACACGAGGCTATCTGATTTGTACGAGGGGGCGTAGCCCCCGAGTATAAATCAGATTGCCGAGTGTTTTGGTGTTCTTTCTCTTTTGTATCATAGTCAAACATAAAAACACGTTCCCTCTTGTCACAATTTTAAACCCCGGGAAAAAGCAACCAATGATCGAGCATCTGAATATGATATTTCTGCCGTTTTCCCTTTCTCTGCCGTCACAATATGTAAACCCCAGCAAAAATGAGCCAATCAACGGGCATGATCTGGAGTGCGGGTAACTGATACCTGCACTCCAGTTACCGCACTGTGCATGTATATGTATACGATTTAACTTTGACACTTTTTCAACAGAAAGGTCCCCAAACTATGATACAATATATGATGATGTATTTTAAACGAAACTTAATTTTCGAAATGAAATGTAATAATTAAAAGACATGACTGAACTCTTGTGGTAAAGCAATTAAACCATGATAGAATGGTGATATTATATGAACAGTTCATTAAAACACAAAACACTCATAATTAACGGTACATAGTACTTAAAAAGGTGCTGAAATCAAAATTAAGGTGAAGTAGTTGAATACATATATAATGTAAACATGTCTTTAATTTCACTTGATGTGATGTGTTTATTGTTAAATATATACAGTGTCCTCCATTCCAATCTTCTCCCAGCACAACATTTGATTATTGAATCAAGAATTCAGTAAATTCTGTTGTTGACACAATAATTGAATGACGCCTGCGCGTAGCAATACGGTGATAGCATAATTATCACAATTTAATGGTGTTCAACCGATGACGATTACTACTTTGAAATCCTACGAATTCACATATCTTGTGGATACTCTACTCTACTCTCAATGGCAAGGTCATAGTAAATTCGTCGACAATATGTTGACATCACGTGCTTGTGAGCTATAAATAGTATTTACCCACACTTGCGCAGGTTAACTTTTAGTGTCGTATTGCCGATTTCTATTACTATCAGTATTAAAATTTACGTTGTATTATTACATGCTAAATATGGCTAAATGGAAGAATCGTTGTTATGATGCCTTGGTCATACTTGAGTATGAAGATTATCTGGAAATCCATCCGCCCCGGCTACGTGGGAAGGACCAGTATATGTATACTGCAAAAGATGAAAGTCACAACAAATATGATCTATACTGCAGAGATGAAGAGGGTTTCAAAATGCGTTCGAGATAACCAAACATCGTGAAAAACGAATTCGAGATAACGATATTTCATTATATGAATTGTTGTAACTGCTATTGAAATGAATTCTTCGTAGATAGATTTTAAAAATTCATTCGTTTCTGTTTTTTCTATCTTTAAACAAAGAACAATATAATGATTTTCAACCGATGAAGAAAGAGAAGGAAAAGAACAACTTACAGTTGACATGGATTTTCTGAGTGGGGAACTAGGATTAGGATTATCCCTATCCAGGGATCCACGGAAAGACAACCTCGCTTTACATCGCAACACAGATCCAAATGGTTTCTGTAAACACCAAACACTCAGATTAACATATATTTCTAAATAAAGACATTTTTTTGCCAATTCTTTGTAAAGATAAAACATGTTCACTTAATTGTTTGACGGTGTGACAAAATCACCTCTCTGCTTATCGCTTAAAATAATATAACTAAGAAAAAGCTAATGTTTTTGTCAAATTTATTAACATGTGTTATACAATAATTTTCCGGATTCCTTATTTGCGTTCTATTTTATGCATATATAAAGTCAAGAGGAGAAGCCCCCTATACACGTTTTCGACAACAGCACAAGTTATATACCTGTATATTTGTCAAATGCTTAGGTTATATCAGATGTAATTTTTAAACATGTACACAATCATGTAAGTTTCCAGACAAACTGTCTTATTAAAGACTGAAAATAAAGAATCAACCTGTCTCTGGTAAAATGTTTCCGGTCGTTCAACAAACTAATTACGTAAATATATGTAGGGTAGTATTATATTAATAAATATGTATAAGTTTTAAATTTCTTCTTATTTGTAACAAATTATTACCTTTGAACGTTTGGAGTCTAGTTTTGATTTATAAATGAATTCGAAAAATGCAATGATGACAGATAGTGTTAGTCCACCAGCTAGAATGTAAAATATACCGGCCACGTTTTCTAACGTCAATTCGGCTTGGCCACCATCCTGGAATAAAAACACCAACAAAATATACTTAAATCTAATACAGGATGTAACAACACTTAAGTGAAATTTTATATATGTATGTATATAATTATTCTTCAAAAACAATGTCCAAACAACAAAGAAAATGTTAAATAATTATGTACTGCACACGTTTATACGCATTTAAAATAATCCTTAAAATATATGCAATCATTTCTTATTGAAAAAATTGACTAAGACATTTTCGAAAATAAATTTCTAATTACCTCCCTTTAATTACATGAAAATATCTTTACAAATAATGTATTTTTTGGAACTTACAATATTGATAAATCTTCATTTGAGCATCATATTTATGATATAGAACCATGATAAAAAATTGAGTTAAAGGATCTTGACGATGAATATTGTTGTCAAAGAGTTATATAAATCTAGATAAATACGAACTTAGAACTATGTATACCTTGGATGGTTTTCTATAAATGCATTAAACGAACGGTTGAAAAATAAATAAATAGATAAACCCTAACGTTGATAAAATCGCAAGCTTTTGGTGAAGAACCCGTGATTTTAATTCTTAATTTAATTCTTAATAACGAAGTTAGATCTATCCCTATTTATCCTCTATCAACCTTATGGAAGCATTTCTACTGTGTGCCAACATATGCTGGTAAAATGCACGTTGGGGCATATCACATATAGGTACATTTATTCTTAAACAAAAAAAGCGTGAAAGTGGCCACACGGCAATTCAGTGTCGGTGTGAAGGCCGGGTAAAAAAGGACATTATGCCGTTATGATTTGAGGTTTAACCAAGTCAGTAAATAGGCAATGTCCCATCGACTTACGCAGTAAATTTAATTTTCAACATTATAATACTGAAACCACCGTAATTCATATGAAGCAGAAAAAGTTGGCGTTTTGTACAGTCGCCACACACATTTTAGCAACGACCGCCAGAACAAGGCATTTGTGAAATTAGGGAAAACATTATTACTTTGCATTAACACATTATATAAATGCTACCTGATTATTTTCTTTTGTCGGACATTCTGATCTTTTCTCCCACCATTCTTTCTGCATCTCCTCTAACCTCCCAGCCTCTCTTAATTTCAACACAGCTAGAGTGAGCTGATCTCTAAAAGGAGAAAGGCATGAACATTGAACGTTTTTTGAACATATGAGCCGCGTCACGACAAAACCAAGATAATGGGTTTGCGACCAGCATTTCTGATCAGGATCCATGCTGTTCGCTATCAGTTTTGCTACTTGTAATAGGGTTGGTAAGCGAACAGCATGGATCCTGATCAGACTGCGTGGATGCGCCGATCAATGCTGGTCGCAAACCCACTATGTTGGTTTTGTCATGGCGCGGCTTATATAAACATCGATTCATGATCACCAAATGTTGTAAAATTAATTTTGTGAAATAGATTTGGTTTCGAAATTGAGCACACAAATATCACCATTATATGAATGGAAGACTAATCAAAACTGTCTTATTTAATGAGAGGTTTAACTATAAATAAATATTTGTACTTCAATATCAATTACATGCAAATCTTTGAGTGAGACTAAAAAGTGTTGGAGCACCAAATTAAAAATCGTATCCCGGTATATACCGGATAAGGTGCTTGAATGATTAAATGCTAAAATCTCGCCTTTTCACCCGCTAAAATGCATTCTAAGACGTCTTATTAATCTCTTACACAAATTTATATACGATAATGAATGAATAATGTAAAAATATGCAAAAAGGCGATATTTTTTCTACACTTTGTGATCATGTTTTCTGCAAGCGTCTAGAGGTACTGGTCCAACACTTGAGTTAAATCCCATATCATCTATACCTGAGATCTGATCCAATGGGTGTAGCAATGCCATAACCTTTGGAATCCAAGTTCGGTCCGACTTGCATTGTGTCGCAAGGTTTCCGCATATTTGTATATTTATTTGTTGTAGATTCCATCAAATACGCATAGTTTCCTTTCCGAACTCTTTCGATACCTTCTTGATTACTTTTCACAAAAACGCTTGGACTGGCAGATTGCATATATGCCCACATACGCTCATGCACGGGAAACTTTGATTGCTATAAAAGTAAAACGAGTCAGTAGTGATTAAGTCTCTTTTGTATATTAATGTTTATCCAAGCAAAAAAATGCGTTTAACGTACAACGTACATGTATATAGTTTATTCAAAATTATTTTTGTTCGATTATGTTGGAAGCTGTAAGGTTATATTGAAACACTCTCGAATCTGTTCCTGAAACCAACCATAGCTAAGTAATAAGTGTGTAAAGTTTCTTTTCAACAAAATAATTAAGATATTCAACACAAAATCAAACAACTATTTTCTTTAAATATATGGAGAAAATAGTTCTATGCTGAAATATTTATAGAAATTGGTATGATTTCACAGCATTTCCAGTGATTACTACATAATCATCAAAATATATCATTCTCAGAATCACACCGCAAACTACATTCAGGGGAAACAACCTATGATGATTCAAAAACATTTGTATATACACCAAGATCTCTTTTAAGGATACACCTTTTTCATAACGATAATTAGCTTAATATTCTAAATACGACCACAAAGACAAAAGAGTGGCCAAGTAATGCAAGCAAATCAAGACTTATTTCTGGTTGTGACTAAAAGCAAGTCAATAATTTGGTAGCATAGCTCAATCGGTTAGAGCGCTAGACTTGTAATCCCGACATTGTGAGTTCGATATCCGCGCCGGTCAACTAAAAATACTATTCAGTCTTTCGGATTGAGGTCACTTCATGAGTGCTTTGACACTAGGCACGCTAAAGAACCAGGAGAAGGTTCTAGAATTGGGGAATCTTTCTGTATCTGTATCTTGTTTAAAATGACTAATTCTCTCCTGGAGGACTCGCCCATATCGGCAACCGATGGCGAGTATAAATAAACTAAAATACACACAAATAATTTAGTAAAAGAAAGTATTAGAATATGAAACCAACCTGGAAGAAGCTTGCAGTGCTGCCGGAAGCGAGGATACCGTACTGGATCTCAGTCTGTTTGGCTAAATCTTCCGCGGATTCGATTGGCGTCAACATTCTCTCCACGGTAAGGAAGGCAGCCAGGTTGGCTGTATACGAGGAAATTATGATCAGGGTGAAGAACCACCAGACGCTCCCGACTATTCTACCTGATACTGACCTATATGGAAAAAAGAGAATACAGTAAAACCTCGACTGAGCGGCACTCTTTGAGAGATAACAATTATGTTCGCTACTGAGATAATCTGAATAAAGTTCAGACCTACTTAAGTTATTTTTTTGCGTAGCGTTAATAAGGATTTTTTTCAGACTGCCGCTGAGATTGTTGCCCTTCAGAGGTTAAAATTTATGGTGAAGTCTTACTTTTGGTATGCTTATAGAAAGATTTCATTAACAGTTGATTGGTCTACAGAGGACCACGTTGTAAAGGCTTGCCTGTATATTTAAGTCTCTGGTGTGTTTAACTGATATCAGTTTGGAAAGTGACGAGTTAAGACAAAATATGGACAACCGAAAAATTTCAAAACCTCACACAAATACACGTTAAAAATCTGCTTTCTTTTTACATGACACCGATATATGAGGTTGGGCACGTAGTCCTTGTAGATCATTCTGCGGAAACAATGTGTCTTTTACTTGTGTGGGTGTCATTTGTAAAGCTAGTTTAATCATAACTTAGTCTTATATAAATAATATTCGTATCAGTTTGTCTGCTTATACAACTAACAGTAACATTTACTGTTGTTGTTGTTTTTGTTGTTGTTATTTTGTGAAAAAATACACATTTAGTACCTGGGTGAAATATCACAACCTTGCTGCATAAAGGCTCCAAGAGAATACCAGAGGCTGTTTGATATAGTAAAGTCATTTGAAATACTGGCGCCGTCATCTACGTGCCACTCTGTAGGACTGTAAAAATAAATAATTAACATGCAACAAAAAACCATTGAAATCGTACTGTACTGTATCAGAGCGATTATATTTATAAATGTGGATACAAGAAGGTATATTAAAATGTAAACTTTAACTCCTTTTTAAAAATAACCATACCATAGACGGTACGGGAAATTACGAACTATGCCGAGATGTAACGGATCTCTATGATAACAGGCATTTATTCATTCTTCATCTTTTTACGCTTTGAAATGTTTGATTGGGTTTTATGACACACAGACACTGTATATGTCTTATGGCGACGTTCCAGCATTACTGTTGGAGGAAGACCTCGGGTGCCGTTCCGTGCATTATTTCAGGCACGAACGAGCACCAGAGTAGAGCCACCGACGTTCCGTAAGCTAGCAGGATAGCTTCCTCACATGAAATAATCCAATGTCCCTTTCAAGATTCGAACCAACAGTGGCGAGGGGCAAGTGGTTTAAAATCAAAGACCTTAACCACTCAGTCACGGACGCCTCCCCTATATCTATATGACACGGAAAATAACGAAATATGCCGAGTTATGACGAATCCCAACGATAAAGTATGACATGCACCGTACCTGAACCTGCTTACAAGGAAGAGGACGACACTGACTCCAATATAAGCAAAAAGTATACACATCCATATCTCGTAGGAAAGCGGGTCCATGAATGAAAAGACACTAGCTTTCTTAACTGCTGTCTTCTTGATCATAATACTGATTCCCAAGCTCATGTACGGTTTCGTAAAGTCCACAACCCGCTCGCGCTGTGACGTAATCGTTATTGGTGCAATAGCCAGATCAACCTCCTAAAAACGTAAATCGATAGCAACTTAACTTATTTCTATGGTCAGTATAATTATGCATTGTCTAGACGTAAATAAGAATGGATATTTTTTTAGGAAAACATATTGCTCGAAATGGATAAAAAGAATACAAGTAAATGGATTCTCCATCTGGGTCTGACTCACATCATTTAATTATGTATCATATATCTGTCCTACACATTTGTAACATCGATTTTCATTGGTCAAGTATGAGGTTTGTATTTGTATTATATATACATAAACACCGCTTCTCTGAATTCACATTAATTTTTTAATTTTCAGAAATGGAATCAATGATAATGTCATATAAATAGACTCTCTTTTCAAAGACGTTTTTGCCAGGTTTAGACCATGCTATTAATACTCGCCCTATGGCTCAGACATTAATAAATATTTTCTAAAATCGTTTAAATTGAGTCACATATATTTGCAAAATGTTAAAATATGCAGTAATGATTATGTATAGTAAGTTCATTCATTCATTTGTCTAAAGGCATGCTAATGTAAAGTTAAAGTCTGAAATATGTTCAACAATATTTTCCATTCTTATAGCTATAAAGCCTAGTTCATTATTATTACATGACGTCATTTATTATCATTTTAAAACGGTTGTAACCACTACAACGTCGCCTAAAGCTTCAAAGATCATTAAGTGTTTGACACTTACTCCGCAAGAATAAATAGAGGATATTTAAATATTTTCTTTAAATACAGGAATTATTTTCATCAAGTGGTATGAAAATAAATATTTCATGAGTGGCGGTACCACGAATGAAATATGATTATTTTCATACCACAAGATGAAAATATATCCTGTATTTATAGAAATAAACTTAAATTTTCTGTTTATTATATATATATTTTTTTATTTTGATATTACAGTTTGAAAGAATTTCCGTTAAATTTTTTGTACTGGCAGAATTTAGAAGAAAATAGTCCGGCGAAACAAAAGTGAAAACATGAAAATATGTTTCACTGCAGTGAAAAAAATAATTTTTACAGTGAAAATACGGAAAATAAAAATACGCATTTTATTTCATCAATATTCTCAATATCTCATTTATTATAAGTTTATAATAAATATAAGTAGATAAAAAATATAGCAACATCGGATTGACTTTGCTACCGCCACACAACACTTGGCTCCAATTAACATGACTAATGTACTATACAATAACAAATGAGCCGCGTCACGACAAAACCAACATAATGGGTTTGCGACCAGCATGGATCCAGACCAGCCTGCGCATCCGCGCAGTCTGATCAGAATCCATGCTGTTCGCTTACAAACCCTATAGCAAGTAGAGAAACTGATCGCGAACAGTATGGATCCTGATCAAACTGCGCGGATGCGCAGGCTGGTCTGGTTCCATGCTAATCGCAAACCCATTATGTTGGTTTTGTCGTGACGCGGCTCAAATACTGATTTTAAAATTTCAAAGGAATGGTTTCTATACGTGTACCTGTTCCGCAATAACGTTAATTTGGAACTGTAAATATATCTATTATATCTAATGGTGTTATAAAGTTGAATTCTTTAAAAAATATAACAAAATAATAGTAATCATAAAAAGAATTTAAAAAAAACCTAAGGAAGAAATCCAAGAAAGGAATAAATATTTGTTTACATATTCCGCCATTTATTCAAATCAGAAGATCAATCTTAATTTAGAGGAGACTAAATCATATCATTGTTTTTCATATATTTATAAAAAATATCTTAACACATGAAATATTTAGTGCTTAAGTCCATGCAAGCAATTTTTCGTTCCGACGCGCCAAAAAAAGGCAAAATAATCTTAGTTAAAGGTACTTCACAGAGGTAACTTTTAAACATAAAACATTGAAAATCGTTCATGACAGATCAACTCAGGCACTAAATTGTGAAGAAAAAAAGAAAAAAAAAAAAGAAATATATTTGAAATATTAATGAAAATCGATATCACGGGCGAATTCAGTTATGAACTAAGTTTTTAAAAAGCTTTAAATTCTATTAATCTGTTAGTCATTTGGCACCAAAAAAATATCAAAATGATACTGACAAAATGTTATGGGAGAATAAGTATAAAAACGTCGAAAAAATCAAGTCCAAGCATTTCCAAAATCCTCAGTCGTGTCTTTTTATCTTTTGACCATTTGCCTTTTTTCTGTGAATCGGAAAAATAAATATGCAAAGCAAGTTAAGCCACCCTAAAAGCAGCAGTCACACGTTATGTATGTAAAGCATTAAACTATAATGAAATAGTACAATTAACTTCTATATATACTCTTCCAAACATGCATATTTGTTAATGCTGTCATGACAAAACCAACATAATGGGTTTGCGACCAGCATGGATCCAGACCAGCCCGCGCATCCGCGCAGTCTGATCATGATCCATGCTGTTCGCTTACAAACTCTATAACAAGTAGAGAAACCGATAGCAAACAGCATGGATCCTGATCAGACTGCGCGGATGCGCAGGCTGGTCTGGATCCATACTGGTCGCAAACCCATAATGTTGGTTTTGTCATGACGCGGCTCATATTTGTTAATGCTGTCATTCATTTAAAAACTTGTAAAAATTCGACAGACGCCGGCTTGGTCTATGATGAAAACTGGCTTAGTAAAGATTTAGGTTGCTCCCTTTTTTATCTTTATAAGCCACTAACAGTGCCGAGATATTCCGAATTCCCACAATCGTTTATCTATAGATGTTTAAAATTAAAACTTGTGAATTCATAAAAAATATATCAATGAATCGATCGAACGATTAAAAATTAGCTAAATGATAAGTAAAAATGAAAATGACAAAGCATCCTTTAAGTTACAAAATTATTAAGTAAAAATAGGGTATGTGCAAAAATCTTGAAATGGAAGATCAAAAAAGTGACATAAACGGTTTCATTTCCATATAGAATTAATGAAAAATTAAAAAATAATAACTAAAAAAATTAAAACACTTTAGACAGATTTATAAAAAGATGTATTTTAACTGTTAATGTTAACCTTGTATTTTATCGTGAAAAGCAATAAATTTATTCATGTCAATGTATGCATGCATATTTAAAAAAAAAACATGTAGATATATAAAAGGCATCCATTGAAAAGAATGAAAATTGGACAATTTCTAACTGATCACGTATAATAAAACTGAGCCGCGCCGTTACGAAACCAACATAATGGGTTTGCGACCATCATAGATTCAGACCAGCCTGCCCATCCGCGCAGTCTGATCACGATCCATGCTGTTCGCTTTCAGTTTCTCTACTTGTTATATGGTTTGTAAGCTAACAGAATGGATCCTGACCAGACTGCGCGGATGCGCAGGCTGGTCTGGATCCATGCTGGTCGCAAACCCATTATGTTGATTTTGTCATCGCGCGGCTCATTAATAGTAAACACATGCAAAACAATTTTTTCAAACACCTACAATACATAATGATTTATCTAAATTGACGAGACAAGACAAACACCCAATGATTAACGCTATGCCTGATAATTATCTAACATGATTACTTCTGAGAATTATGTTCTAGTTTTAGTTTAAAACAAAATTAGTTTAAACCCGATTCTGAAGGAAATGTGTAGCTTATTTGAAGCTCACTCGAGGCCGCTTGCTGGGGTCAACCGGAACTTGTGACATATGAACAAGCATAGCAATTGTCCTGGTAGGATTTCAAAGATTTTCTCCGTATAATATAAGTTTCCTATGATTTTTCGTTTTCTGAGACAGGCCTTTTAAATCATTTCTTAGATATGAAGAAAGAACTAAGTGGCCACCTGAACTTGGATCAATCACTTAAAAGCGACATTATGCTCGCCAAAGAGTAAATGGTGAGTGTTCATGTAACATTAAAACAATTTTACGTCTTATCATTTTTAACTTTCAGTTTTATGATACATATTACCAGTGTAATTAAAAACTCATATCAATATCCTTAGAAAAATATCGGTAATGTTCAAATTATAAAGAGAGTAGGGCAGACGTTTTAAATTTTAATCAGCTTTTTGGAATATGTTCATGCTAAACATTTGTGATTACTATTGTTCAATAGTAGTCATTAGAATAGTAAACCTTTTGAAATGTTCAACTAATTTATCTCAGATTGACAGTGAAAGAATGAACACAATTCACTACACAAACATTTAAAAATATTCAAAATACCAGTACGATGGGAAAATTGAGAATTAAACAACGGTCTAGATGGATGAATACACTATGTCCAAAAGATTTCCTTCTAGTATGCCATGCCGATTCATAAATTTACTTCTTTGCAGGGATGGAAAGATTAAACTCAAGTTAATATTTTTAATGACCTCTTGTTGTGAACCACATGGTCTTCATGAGTTAAATATATATTTTTAGTTACAGTGATATCAATTATTCAAAAGGAGGTTATTCAAAAATCTTTAAAACACTCAAGTACTTTATGGCAATGTGTAAGATTGGTATATATTCTGTGACTATTATGTATAAAAATGAAAAATATCACATGGTCATTTAATAAGCAATTTGGCCTCTGTAAAATGGAACATATCATTTAGAAAAAAAATCAACTATTACTGCTGATACGTTAAAACAGTATAATTCCACGTAACACATATATTACTTATACAGTTAAAACATTTAGGGAAAATTAGTTAAGAGTTCATGTTTTACAAAGAAAGCCGCATTCAATACACCTACGATACATTTGGAGTGCATATTTTATCCCACAATGTCGTTGCAAAAGACATAATTTTATGTCTCTAACTATGAAGAATAGGTCCCTCTTAAAAATATAGTTACAAACACATAATTTTCTTAAACGGATACATTCTATCCAACGATGTCGCTGTAAAAGACATCTGGTTTTATTTATTTAAAATAATTTATTCTGTCCCACGATATCTTTGCAATAATAAAAATGTGTTTAACTTTGAAGAATATATTCTGTCATACAAAGTTGTTGCAAGGGAAACATGTTTTTTTCTTGAAACGGGTGTGATATGTGTATTTTACAAGAGGTTTTGAACAAAATGACAATATTTTATGACAAGGAATCAAATAAGGTCTGGAACATGACAACAGCGATGTACTTAAATGTAAAGAGTTTGCAAAGACAACTTCATGTAATGTGTTCATTTTGTTTTGCTTCTATATTAGTTATTTCAATATGTTTTATCTATCTAAAACCCTGTATTGGAATGGTGTGTTTTATTCGAGTACAGTTAAGTAAAGTAGATGGTTACGTACACTTAACTTTAAAACAGACAGACAGACAGCTAGCTCTATGGGGCTCACGAGTAAAGCGCTATCTATAACACCAAGGTTTCATTTCGCTAATGGAATATATACGGTTAAATAAGGACAGAACTTCACACTTATCACACGCTAGACATGGTTATTTTCTACGTTCAGAACAAATAACATTCGATGCGCATGCGCTCACTTACGTCACGAGTTAATTCTCCAATCATACCATTCCACGTTTTATTCATAAGTAATTCTCCATACAGGCCATCTTTAACAACGCAAATGTCGTAATCAAACTTGACATGCGCGGCCACTTCCTTTGCTAAATCCGCACAAAAACCTATAAAATGTTCCTTCCCACATGGGGGTTTTAGAGCTTTAGTTGCCTCGTCCTTGTACATCATATATGGATCGTCCTGTTGTTGTGCAATAGGAAAAATATGTAATATGATAAAAAGTAAAGAAAAACGAGCGAATGAGAAGCATTGAAAATCATTCAAGCATTCCACCTCCTGAAAGGACCATTAGGCAATGGTCTTGACCAAGATAGTGAACGGTTTAACAAACCTTTTGCTATGATCACATATTTTTTTATTTTGAATTTTGTTACGTCACAAAAAACGATGAAAACGTCACCATAATCATCACCTCCCTATCCTTTCAGGAATGGAGATCAATGAGTAAAAGCAGAAGAAAATAAGAGCGTGCAGCGTGACTCGCACGTTGTACCTGGCGTACAAGCTGTCCAAGCATGCCATTCCAAGTACCATTCTCCAACTGTTCACCATACACGTCATGTGTGCAAATGTTAAATGATACGTTCAGAATTTTTTCTAATTCATCAGCCATTTCCATGCAAAAACCTTTAAAGTTTTCTCGACCACATTTTGGTTTCCGTGTTGCCGTGGCGTTATCCTTATACATTGCATAAGGTGGTTCCTTTGAAGCGTTAATTTAAGGATTATAGCTGTTATTCACTTAAACTTAAATAATCATTCTAGATCAAAAAGGTATAGAAAATCTAATGCTAAATTGCAATAATTTTACGAAATAAAACCCAACAAAACGTTCCTCTAGCATATATCGGAGTGTTATCAAATCGTTTTCTAAAATTGATATTGAAAGACAAGAGGACAAAAATAAGAGAAAAGAAATCATATTGCATAACGAAGGACATGGGATCCTATGACTTAGATTGCTACAATAAAGGGAAATTCAGTGTTATTCTGTGAATTTATTATTATGTGTGTTTACTTATTGCCATTTTATAACGAAATAAAGAAAAACAACTTGATATTAGTCATCGGTTGAGGCTTTTGAGAGAGGCTGCTAAGAGACAGGCACCGTTAATTACATTATCATTAATTGGTTTAGGCAATTGCGTGAATCGAGGAAGCTCTGTTTGGAATAATTTACTGTTCTAAACATATGGCTGATATTATTAGATAACCAATATTGCTTCATATAAAACTATATAAAGCAAAATAATATTTGAGTAACCCTTTACTGGCCAAATAAGAACTGCAAAATGGGTAATGTAACAATAAAGGCTAAACAGAATATACCTATACCAGATCATCATGTGCTCAACTCGTTAGGTACAGAAATGGTCATCATATACAATACAATCTTAGGAAGGTCAAACCTAATATTATACTAAATGAACATAAGTTATTACGGTCAGTTGAATCTAGCTTGTTGATAATTGAATCAAATAAAATAATAAATAAAATATTAATTGTATCTAGATTTACATGTAATGTTTGTGTATATGCCCTTTAAAAAAAATTGTATTCAAAATTATTTTACAATAATAGTGGTGACTATCCGTTTCTTTTTCTTCTTTTCCTGGTCAGGGCGTCTCCTGTTGGGTTCTTGTGACGTCAAACCGGTGTCACGTTTCCAGTAACCAACCTGTAGTAATAAATCTTTTGTTGTAAGTTTGAATCATTTAATTTTCTAAGGGAATTAAAATATCAAATTTAGATTGGAAACAAAAAGCAGAATCCCTAAGGAAACAAAAAGCAGACTCTCTAAATAAACTCAAAACAATTTTCGGGCTCGGTTGATTGAGCCTGTTCAAGGACGATAGTGGTAATTGCAAGCTACCGTCCATGTACCCCATAGCACCGCCTTAAACAGAATTTCACATTCAAACATAAAAATAATTGTCAATTTTACCTCGGCTAGACCCATATTCATTGTGATCTCGAGTAGATGGAGCTTGAACTTATTCCTGAAACCGTTTTCGTCAAAACTCACTTTTCCAGTTAACCCGGTAAATTCAATCTAAAAAAGAGTTAGATAAGAATTTTATTAGATAAATTACCAACCATATGTTGAATATAGCTTCTTAATCAGTAATTCATCGTTTATAAGAGGGCAGTTGTATAGAGCAATGTACACCGTGTCCACATAAAGCTGCTGCAATGAAACATTGCATGTTGGAAGACTCATTGGCATTACTATACGACCTGCTGCAGTATATACCGAGTGATTTGGGTTCGAAATCCGATAGGGAACTTGATTTTTTTTCACGTGATAAAGCTATTCGGTCAACTTACGGCAAATATGTGGTTCTCATCGGATGGTCTTTGACTATTTTAGAACAGAATTAACAATTGCATATATGCACAATAATGCATGCATAAAATTAGGAAAGGAATGTTTTCAAGCAAGATTTGATGCAAATCAACTAAATGAAGAAATGGAAAGAAACAACCACTCTTAGTATTTCAGCATATTTTACATACTCTATTTCAATAACCATACTGTACGAGATAAACATAAGCACAAATTTAAATAATTTACCTCATTTCCTTTGAGTTTCATCATCATATTTGTTCCATTATTTGGGCTCACATAATTATTATCGGTACATTTCATATTTTTAAACTGTCGATCATTGAAATCGTTGTAGACATTCCTGTTCTTGTAGAGCTGTTTTAAAGCCCGCTGGAATATGTTTACCGCATCAATTACAAGAGCTGGTTCCAACTGAAAAGTATGATGACGACGTCGTAACTAAATGACGTGGTATATCAGCTCTTTTCGATTCACCGAAAGGATCTTAAAAATATTGCAAAAATCTTATCATATTGCAATATATACATTTAAAAATATTTATATTAATATGACGGTATGATTTTTGTTTGTAGGTATATTGGATGCTTTTCATTTCTGATACATCACTGTTGTTATACAGTTAGATCCGCCTCCGTCTTTCAAAGATTAATTACAAAGGATAAACGTATACTTTAAATCTTTCAAAACAACATTGATTCATCTTTATTATGCTTTGAAGCGACCTTTTAATAATTGGTTTTGTTTGAAAATACTTTAGCGTCGTCAACATAGCTTTTCTGTCAAGATATTTAGTTGAAACCGCTGTCACAAGCTCTCAACTAAAAGCCTAACATCAAAAAACAACTGCAACCAAATAGAACTGTTTAGATGAATTGAAAAGATATTGATCCTTTCTTTCATTAACTGTTACATTATTTTAATTACTAGTTTCACAAACGATAAGAACTTTCCTTGCTTGAAAATACTTTGATATATTTAATTTTTATGACTCAAATAAATGTTTTGGTAACAAACAAACTGTGATAAATTATGTTTTTTGCAAATTTCTCTACGCAATTTCATTATGTTGTTTCCTTTTGGACTTAGCTTTACAAGCACCTCCTACTTCTGGTAGTGGAAGCTAATATATTAATATATTTGAACTTGTACCTTTTGGAGTAAATTCGTTTATCCATTGTGTACATGCAAGCTCTTTCAAAATATCTATTTGAAAGACACTGGAACAAGACAAAACGCCAAGCTGATAACATGCAACCAACTGGCAACTGTTTAGATGAATTGAAAAAGATATAATGATCTTAAAATCATTTTCGAATATAATGTTCATTATTTTAATTTACTAGTATTTCAACCAAACGATAAAACTTACCGGTATTTGATGAGAATAGCTTGGGTCCGGCCAATCCCATATTTTCCAAGCCTTATTTATTGCACTCTTTTTCAATAATGTTGTGTAATTCAGCAACTGAAAACCTGTGATATTTATGCCGCCATTTTTAAAAGGTGCCAAATTCATTTCTTCTATCCTCTGTAATTAAAGTACAACATGTTAAGTTCTTTTTACAAACATGTATATACAGGACCATAAATATAGCCGACGTTTTTACTCAACGACAACCTGCTTTTTTGTAAGTCGAATTTAATATTGAAAAGAATTTGCGAAATAACTTGTTCTAATAAAATGCAAGGCAATGCAGTGGCATATCTCCTCAACATAAATGTCATAATTTACAAATATTATGACATCATTTTGGATTATACTTGGGGAGTTCTATAAAAGATTATAAATGTCCGCCTTCGCAACAGATGGTTAGGATCAACTGTCTGCCGTTTGCCTTGCATGCTAAATGACGAACCGAATAACTACAAACGGGTTGTCAAAAAAGATGAAAGAGTTAGCATAGATGTTGTCTATGCATTTACTAAATTGTTCTTATTACTTTTCAAAAGTCTAGTTAAAATGTAAATTTGACGGATACATTCCCGGCAATATGGTAAATTTATGTATTCTTTGGGTCATTCGTTTTAAACTGTGAGCATTTGAATTGGAATACTACTGAAAAACCGGTGCCTTGCGTAGAATAACTGGTTGCACTTTTCATTTACTTCCACAAATGGACAAAATCAAAAAGGTCAACGAATGTGAACATTAAAATGAAATAAAATATCGTTGCGTTATACATTAACTTTCATTAAATGTACATATATCATGACATAGCATGACTTTTTTACAGACATTTCATTCATTAGAAAACATATACACGACCAGTACATTCTACATGTATACACTTGAGTATTTACATTTGCCCTTAATGTTCTAAAATGTAGAGAACTGTTCTAAAACAAATCGAGTATTAAAACATGCCTTTGGTGTTTCATTCCACTCTCTATTAAAAATAATAGAGATAAACGAAACATGAAAATTATCCTTTCATTATTGTCCGTCTCTTACTAACATATATGTTTTGTACACACTCCTTGAAAGTATTAGTAACGAAATATTCAAACTCAAGACTTACCAATTCTCCTAATAAAAAGTGAAATTTGTGATTCATGACAGTTGTGTCGTTTTTCTGTAAATATAATAAAAAAAATGATTAAAATAATATCTAAACTCGAAAATACGATGCAATATAAAAAAGATCGAGACAATTTCTTAATTTAACTGCCAATTAATGATCTAGGGTATTATAATTCATAAACATTGAACTACAATTATTAAGTAGGATACTATGACAGACGCCCCAAATAAGGGTTTATGTTGTTATACCATTTTTGTGCAAAATTTTGCGCAAACTCCATACATCTGTGTTTCGCATTTGCTAATAACTTTACTGGAATAAATAATGAAACCAAATAAGTTGACATTAAAATTAACATTTTGACTTCAATTCATAACCCCTTTTAGTGCGTCAAAATTCACATCCCATGCACACAAGACGTCATATTTACAATGTGGTGACTACCTTTTCTGTGAAAATTTCACATTAATAAAAGTGCACTTTATTATAGTTAATGGCTAGAAAAAGTACAAAAGAGAGTAAAATAAAATGATTTTACGCCAGTTTGGGACAACCTTTGTAATATAATGATGACACGACTTGACATAATATTGTTATATATGTATACAATTCATGTCTCTCATAGGCGTCTAAATGTCCGGTGTATATGAGCATATTTGTTTAAAATTCGACAACATGTCGGAATATATAAATCACCTAAGTTTTCATCAGAAATACGCTGTCTCTACACTGTAATAAACCAAGATGGAATTCGTCCGCTTACTGCAGAATTATATTGATAAATCTTTATATATGCGAGTGTTTTAGTTAAATTATTCGGATTTTTTTATTCGAACAAAAAAACAAAAAGAAAAATCGGTCAAATGGGAAGATGAAATATATTACATTAACCCTTGCATTTTTCAATCAGAAATCAAAACAAATATCATTTTTAGATATCCGTACGCTTTTCCTTTTGTCTTCCCGCTTAGCGTAGTTGGAGTCGTAATGCTGGGGTATCTGGTTAAATCCTCGGGCGAGGCGGAATTTGTCCTCGGACATGTAGTCTAAAGGTCTTTTGTCTCTCGTCACTGATTCAGAAAATATGTTGAAATGAGTAGTCGGATTAATCGTCTATCAGAAACAAAAAAAGTTAAATCCTTACCAACTTTACGATAACTGTTTCTGCGCTTTCCGTTGGTATATCTAGAAACACTCTAATTGTGGTTTTCTCGTCCTTTTTATGTAGGTCCTTCAGCATGTTATAGCAGTCTTCGGCATTTTGAACCCTTTTAACATCAATGTCTATAAAATGTTCCCTTGTATTGACAGCTTGGAATAACTGTTGTAGCCGGATTAAACCTGGAACATGGTAAAATATTTGAGCCGCGTCACGACAAAACCAACATAGTGCGTTTGCGACCAGCATGGATCCAGATCAGCCTGATCCAGATCCGCGCAGTCTGATCAGGATCCATGCTGTTCGCTTACGAACTGTATAACAAGTAGAGAATCTGATAGCGAACAACATGGATCCTGATCAGACTGTGCGGATGCGCAGGCTAGTCTGGATCCATGCTGGTCGCAAACCCATTATGTTGTTTTTGTCATGACGCGGCTCATTTCAATATCTACTGTAATGAAAATAACATTTATAAAGTGTTAATAATGTACCAATTTTAATATTTAAAAAAAGGAATGAAAAATAAATCTACAGACTTACTAAAAGACCTATACCATTGTTAAGGCATTATTATTATTATTATCATCGTTATATTCATTAATGGCGAATTCATAAATTAATTAAGGATGAATATGAAAATGGTATGGCCAAAAATGCACTTAAATGTTAAAAAAAGGTGTTTTAACTGTTTTGATACCAGTCGTTTTCCGTTGAATTAAAAAAAAAGTTAAAAACCACGGAACCATTCATACCTTGTAATACTTTCTGTGATCTGCGTTCGTAAAAGAGTCCTTTTATGACTTTCATTCCATTCCTTCTTTAATGAGCGGGCTTTACACCTTATACGAATTTCAAACAACTTATTGATGAAAATAAATCTAACACCGAATTTATTTGTTTTCTCACAGAGAGTCACATGGTATAGGCACCGTGGTAAACAAAATAGTAGAATTAACCTCATTGGAAGATACATTTTGAAAAGAAAAAAGTTAAGAAAGATTATTATTTAGTTCGTATGCACTCGTCGGATACATTTATACAATCATTGTCTGTTTGAATAAAAATCAAACAATTACTTTTTTAATTTTCAGTGCAAACAGTCTTGTCTGAAAATATTAAAAAGGCAAGTTGAGTCTTTAACTTTCCATGATCTTTTTTTTTTTTCAAGAGATTTACGTAAAAAATAATGATTCAATTTCCAACAAATATTTTTGTAAAAGAAAAGAATATCGGATTCCATAATAAAGAATAATTTTACTTTAATCTCAAACATTTTTATAACATGGAAACAACGGGTCTCCGTTTGCGAGTGGTTAAGGTCAGTGACTCAAACCACTGGCCAATCACAGCTTTATGTTCAGATTCCGCAATGGACTTGTTAGATATTTAAGAGAGTTATCCAGCTAGCTTAACGGATGTTGTCCTTAATACTTTTGCAATCGGTTATTAAAGTCCATTAAATCACAAAGGAAATATATAGAATATATTGTTTGTATTTTGTGTTAGATGAAAATGTATTTCATCGGATAAACTTATAAAACGATTTTCTCACGAGTAGCGTACATTTCTAATTGCATTTTATGAGGTGCCACAAATGGAAACTTCTAAAACGTAGTCTCTTTCAGGCTAGCGAGAAATTATATTTTAATTATTTTCACTGTGAAATTATCAAAAATAATTCAATTGTATGGTTAGTAATTCATTCAAAAGCATAACATAAAAGTGTCTTCAGAACGCGCCGAAAATAAATGCCAACAGAAGCAAGAAGACATGTATACAAGTAGATTTGAAGCAATTCAGATTGAATTTTATTTAATTCAGATAATAAGGAATAGTTAAAAACAAACCTTCGTCCGTATCGTAAATGTACAATATTCTCTCCCAGCCATATTTGATAATTACATCTAAAAGACCGTTCACGTAAACCGGTCTCATAAAAAGCTGAAAATCGCCATGGCTTGAAGAATTTTGAATCATGCTCAAAGCTATGAAAGGCACCTTAAAATTGTTGCTATAAGACTGTATGGTAGGTAAGGCTGATGCATCAGACACTCCGATGATACCATATACTCCCTTCCTCAAAAGTGAACATACTGAAAAATAAAAATACATATTTCATAATGAGAGTACAGCTTTTCATGAAAAGTGAACATACTGAAAAGAAAATACATATGATAATTGTATATCTAACAAAGGTAGAATGTTCTTTCCTGAAAAGTGAACGTTCTGAAAAAATATTAAATACATAATTATGTTAATCGTATATCTTACAAAAGTAGAAAAGTGAACGTTCTGAAAAAATGTTAAATACATTTGATAACCATATATCTTACAAAAGTAGTGTGTTCTCTCCTGAAAGGTGAACGTTTTGAAAAAAGAAAATAAACTCATTTGAACAACGAAAGTATACTCTTTCCTGAAAAGTGAGCGTTTTGAAAAAAATAATACATAGTTACATGTTTATTACACATGTACTATATGATGATGAAATAAATTCTTTCCTGTGAAGTGAACATATTAAAAAAAAATAGATCGTAGAATGCTGAAATCGTGTTCTTTCTTGCAAATTGAACTTTCTGAAAACAATAAATACATAATGATGAAAGCATATTATTTCCTGGAAAGTGAACGTTCTGTAAAATAAAAGATACATAATCATATGATATTCTTTCCTGTAAAGTGAACATATAAATTAGTGATAAATATGATTTATATTGGGAAGTAATAAAAACATATAAAGTTTTTGCCCTTTCTCATGCTTTGTCTTAGAAAAAAACCCGTTGTATTAGGCGACAATTGTTTTGGTATATCTCTTGCGCGGTCGCTTTATACAAGTTTGACCGTATTATGAATGCAATTATACACTTTCTAGTAAAGTGAACTAAACAAAAAGTAATAAATACATATAATGTGATATTATTTAACATTCCCAAAAGTGAACTTATTAAAAAATAGTATTATTAAATACATTGCAATACAGTTATTTTCTGGAAAGTGAAAATAATAAAAGGTTATGAATACATTACATATTGTGAAAAGATACCATTTCTTTAGAATACCACTAAAACACATACCATTTCTTTAAGAATACCACTAAAACACATACCATTTCTTTAAGAATACCACTAAAACACATACTAAGAACAACAAATAAGTCTAAAATATCAATACTTTTTAAAAAGTGAACATGTTGAAATAAAATACACATTTCATATCAAATTAGTTCTACGTTAAACTTTAAAATAGCAATATCAAATATATTGCATTGTTGCTGAACAAGATTATCTTTGTGAAAAAAAATCTATGCCACCACATTATACAAGATTTATTAAATATTAGGAACAGAAGAAGTTCATTTTCTTCGGTTTCTTAATAATGAACCTTTGTAATAATGAAATAAAATTTAGTGAATTTGGAGGTAGGTCACTAGGTCAGAATATACGAATATAGGTCGGTCTATTCTTTATCTGAAACTGAAATTATGATTCAAATTTCATAGCTGTATCGAACAAAAAAATAAGAAAAAGCAAAAAAAAGCGAGACACATTTTGACCACAAGGGTATAATTTGTTCAAACTTTGTAGCTGTTCATTAGACAAGGTTTCATGCCAAATATCAAATATCTCGTCTTTCATTGTTCAGTAGTAAAGGTTTGCGGTGGCATAAAACTATGTACGAGTAATAAGGGGGTGTTTGAGATATTATTTAATTTTACCCATGATTGAAATATGGTGTTATATCAGTCAAACATATTTCATATTTGTTAAAAATAAATATGAAATATAAATATGAAAGTTGGCGGAGTAAAAACTTATATATATTTTAGGGACTACTTTCTCATGTTTTTTTTTCAGCTCATTTTCAGGGATTCGTAATCATTCTTTTTCTTGAAAATGAAATCAAATAAAAAAATAGTTTTTTCGGCTCGTGAAAATATGTGACATTCATATTTCACTCAAACGAAAAAAGTTTAAATTTTGGTTTTTCATTCCGTTGGCATGTAGTATTACGTGAGCTATACAATCATTAGTAGAAACTAGAAATCAGTGTATCTTTTACTTAAATTATCTCATATAGAATATATAATGTATTACTTGATAAAATAATTCACGGAGAAAAATATACTAATTTCAAAAAGCTAATGATATATTAATTTATTCTTGGAATATGTCATTTTACATGTTGCCAAATCCCTGCTTTGACGATATAAACAATTTTCTGATTTACATACAAAGATTTCCTCATGCTGATAAAACCGTGCTATGATAAAATTAAACATTTCCCGGTGTATATACAAATAGTTCCTCAGTGCACCAGAGTTGATAACAAACTATCAATTTCATTTATCTATTTGACGTGTTTGAAAAGACTTAGCTGATCGAAAATATAATGGAAAATTTTCCTGAGAAGGGAATGAAGAATTGGAAGTTTTCATTTGTGAAGGCAAGCGAAAAACAGGGTAATCTTATTTCCCGTTACCATGGTTAATATTCCATGCTTTTGTCGAGTTGTCACAAAATAATTTCGTTCAGACGTGTTCATTCTTCACGCAAGAAAGTACTGTAGTGACATTTTATAAACTTGATCATATTGCCAAGTCTACATGTCCTCTGTCAGCTTATTATTATATGGTAGATTAATACAGAAAATTAACATGTAAGTATCACACATAACCCTTCCCTCATGAGCATATTGTGAAAAAGCCCGTTTTCATTGAAAAAGCCTACTGTTACCATTTCAAACTGCTATGAAACTATGACAAATGCTTCAATACTAATCAAACTTGGCACAAATGGACCATTGCCTTTGTAACGACATGCTCAGTCTGAAATTTCCTGTTACCATGGTAACGAAGGAACATCTCAAAATTGCCAAAAATAACTATTTTGCCTTGATTTTTTCCATCAAAATTTATTTCAAAGTGCTGCAACTTCTCAAGGGATTGAGATAGAGTCAAAGGCTTTTCAGCGTTGGTTACACGTTACCGTAGGATCGACCTGGGGTCATTTTTAGCCTCTTACAAGTCTAAAATTTTCTTGGCGATGAGGTGGACTGTCGCCCCCCTTCAACCCCCCCCCCAAACAGAAGGGGACAGAAGAGGGCACATCCTCCTTCTGGCAACCCCCTAATGTACTTTTTGGATGGGGCCCGGCGCCAAAAAAGTGCTCACTTTTTTTTAGCAACATTTCTCAAACGAAAACATGTGTTTTGGGCCCAAAAAGGACACTGTTTCACTATTTGAGGCCTGAAAGAGAGGGGGGGAGGGGACGGATCGAAAGTGCGTTGTTTCGCGTATATATGAGGTAAAAGGTTAACAAAAAATGATAAAAACCCTTGGAATTACCCAAAATCAAGTTTTTCCATGTTAACATGTGGCCTTTCACCTAATTTTGGTTAAAAAATTTTGTTTTGTTACATTTTTAATTTTTTTAGTTAATATATAGAAATATAGATATGTAACTTCCATTACTTTCATTACTTCCAGAAATGTATTTGCACAGAGTAAGAAAACTTTACCGCATTTCATTAACATTTAACATCAAGAAAAAATGGTTTAATAGATAATTCCACATGTGTTTGGATAAAACTTGCATTATTTCCAATTTTGTCTCTCTATTGTACACAATCGATTCTCGAGAAAAACAGTGAAACAAAAACGTCGCGAATGATACGCGATTTACAGCATCATCTGTTAATTTAAATAACTGTTCATGCTTTTTTAAATGTAGTAAAGATTCATTTGTAAGTGTACATGCTTGTTTGGTTTTACGGCGCACTAACACAATTTAGGACATATGGCGGTGAAAATAGAAAGATGATTTTGGCTAACCCCGGATGTTACAAACACCGGGGATCAAAAATATCTCAACTGCTGGAGCTGAGAGATTCTTAGACTTCAATAATTTGAACCTATTTAGCCGCCCTTTTACAATCACACAGGGATAAAAGGTGACTGCAATGCCTCAAACCTCAAAGGCAACCACTCAGCCATAAAGCGAAACTGTACATGTACATACGTGTATGAATACATTTAACTTTTCGCATTTTTAATCGGATGTGCTTTGGGTGCTATATGTTATTGGTTACTCTCTATATTTCTATATATTTGGCACCCAATATTATAATACCATCTGGTCCAGTCTGATTTGTTATTATTTTTGTTTTATCAGTCGACTAGACAATCGTTTAGTGTTATCATGTCGTATTTTCCTTTCATAATGGTAGAAATGTCCGAAAAGATAATGTAATCGCCTGCCAGATGTTTTGGGAATTTTCAATCATTTGTTTCCTAATTCGACCTGTTCTGCGTTGTGGTAAATAATCTCAATTTATGAATTAATCAAAGCTGAACTTTAACAGTGTCTAGTTGTTACAGTATGATTCCTTTGGTTTGGGTTATATTTGATCATTTTATAGGGTAGTTGCATAATTTTCTCAATGTTCCCTCGTTCAGCTCTATCGGACACAAATAATTATTTGATTTATTTATAAAGTATACCTCATCAATCATCACTCATATTGTGAGCGATTGCCTAGTGGTTAAAGTTACTACTTCTCAACCCAGTGATCATGTGTTCGAGCCTTAATCGGATCACGACCATGTTTCTTCATAGCACAGTACTGTCTGGTTCCAGGAAGAGGACTCGAAAATGATTAATATAAACTGCAAGAACTTGTTTCGCAATCGAACTTAATTAAATATGTTTCAACCAGTCATTATTTATTCTTGCATGAACACACCTACTTAAACCTTTTACTTTATACTATGTTTAAAGTCTAGATGTTAATGCCAATTTAAGAGCAGACCATCATGATTCATTCTACCATAAAGATATATTGTAACATCTAATTAAAGAAATTAAATCGATCCTGTTTTGTGTACGGTGTGGGGGAGGGGCTTGGCGGATAGACATTAGTTTCTATGTATACAAAATCTTTGCATAAGATGTTATTGAAAATATAAGTTACAAAACTCAAATATTTGTGCTATTTATGAAATGAAAAGATGCTAAGTTATTTATAAAAAAGTAGTTTATATATGACATGGCACTAGCTGCTATTATTATTTTACTAATGCAATTTCAAATAAAGT